TCATGACGTGTTAGTAGATGATCTCCGTCTGGCTCTTCTGTCTGATCTCAAAGTGGATTGCTGGTCGTCTAAAGTGCTCATCATTTTGCGTTGGTTGGGCCATGAGTGGCCGGCGTGTGACTCCGTTTCTCAGAAGGTAGATGTATACTCGTCTCAGTTGATTCGAGTGGGTGAGGTTCTGGAGAGGTTATCTGCGTTCCTTTTAAGTGACTGGGATCAGTTCAGCCAAGGGGGTGATCCGCGTGTGTTCCAAGGTAAAGGGGTTTCGCTTTGCAGGTATCATAACTGGATGGGCTCCCCTTCACCAGCAAGAGAGGGCTCCGATCCCACAGGCTATTTGCGTGTTTATTTGCCGGTCAACCAGTTGCGTATGGTTGCCAAATTCCGTCTTTGTTGTTGGCCTTTGGAGGTCAACAAAGGACACCATAGGCCGAGAGAGTGCCGTACGTGTCAGGTCTGTACGTCGGGTAAGGTTGAGGATGAATATCATGTGCTCATGGAGTGTGAGGCGTATACTGAGTTGCGTAATAGGTTTCTGATTAACGTTGAAGATACTGATATGCGCAAGGTATTTCTTAATACCAATCCGAGGAAAATCGCTACTTTCCTTACTGAGGTTTTTGATGAGCGTCAACAGCGTGCTCTGGAGCCTCACGGCTCGTGAGGGCACCCGCCGCGTCGGCGGCGGAAATACTGTAACCACAATACAATACAATACAATACAATTACGAACGCGTTGGTTATAGGGTAGAAAGAAAGAGGCCGGCGCCGATGTAGCTATGCCTGTCTGGGCCTGTACGAAGTTGGGCTTTATGAGTAATATATAAACCGTGAATATCGGCGTTTTTGACGCTACCAAGTTGGCTTGAACAACAGTGAAGGCTGCCAAAGTCTGTGAGCCTAGGAGCCGTCTGACAGTACGAGAACTTGTCCTTTCTTCTCTTGGCCTGAGAGCCCCGATTCCGACCTGTTTCTGATCCTCGGTAGCATACCGAGCGTCTCTTATATCGCGCAGGAGCGCGCACTGACAGGAGCGCGCACTGACCGCAGAGGCTCCTTTATTTACCTGTAACTCATACCAGACTCCTTATCCTGGTTCGTCTCTACTCTCTTAACAGCTGAATTACAGCTTTGCAATACATCGCAAAAGGTTCCTTAACTTCTAGTAATACGTTGGGGGACTCTGAGTTTGCCTTATGGGCAGCTGATCAGCTGGCTTCAGTACGACATCTAATCATCCGGCTTCATGGAGCTCTTCTCTTGGGCTGTACCGATTGATACAACATCGACGACTCATCTCAAGAGTCAAGTATTTGCATATTGTGCTTATCGTATTTTGGCTCTGTTGCCAGTCGCGGTTAGCGAGCATCGAACAGTGGTCAATAAGCCTTAATGAGCCTTAAGTGGTCATCCATATAGGCAAAGTGGTGGAAGATACCTTGGTTAGGGACCCCTGAGATGTGTGGCGCCTCTCGCGTGCGACTCTCGCTTAGCACAGTCTGCAGTCTTCTGCGCAGCTGTGTTGCCTAGCCAAGGGCTGCAGTCCCTCGCAGCTGGGAGAGCGCCCCGGCTGGCGTGAGTGAGGGAGTGAGGTGCGCGTGGCGGATCAGACGGACATGGCTGTGCGCCCACCCCTGCACTGTGTTTCGTCCGGTCAGGGTCCCCGGTGCTCATCCTTTCTCTGGGCGAGCTACCCACAGTGTAACACCCCATCAATACAACAACACACCAACAAGAACACTAAACACAACACAATACAACATCAAAAACACCGCCACCAACAACAACACCAAACACGCCATCACCAACAACACCTAACGGCTTCGTACGCTAAACGGAGCCATGCGCCTCCGGCGGGCTTGCCCTAACAAGCACATCCAAGCTTAATCGCAGCTAATTAGCTTGTAAGCTCATATAATGCACACTCATGGCTAGTCTTTTAATTAGACGGACATGCTAAAATAAGCGATGACCACTATTGGGGGGTGTTTCCACTTGGATTAAAAGTCGCGGATTAAGGCTAATCCGTCGCATATGGAAACATCGCGCGGATTAGGACGGATTAGGCGGATTAAGGTTGGCGCGATTAGTTAGAGATTTCCGTCCGTACTCACGCGCTTCGCGGATTAATTATAGATTAATATGCTATGAAATGCGAGCTTTCTGCTTATACTAAAAGCTCAAACTTGGTGCGAAAAATTTGCTACCTGGTGGCCACCAGGTATCAAATTGACAATCTCGGATTAACACTTTTCACGACGCCTCATAAAAAGCCTGAGTGATAGGTTGGAAGGTTATCCTTTATAAAGGCTGTAGGTGTTCCTAGTTTTGTGGAAGCTTTGTGCTTCTTGTTCGGCATTATGCACCACACCGTGGGTGTCGTTCAAAGGTGCTACAAGGTCTTCATGTTGATACTCAATAGTCTTTTAAATGTCTGGCCATACTCGTTTTTGCATTTTATGCACGGAATGAACAAGTGTCGTACTTCAATCCGTTTCTTAATCCAGACGTATGAAACACTCCGACGGATTAGCGGTGGATTGGCGCGGCTTAAAAATACCTTAATCCGCGACTTTTAATCCAAGTGGAAACACCCCCTAAGATTTCCGCCCGCGTTCGTGTGCTTCGCGGATTAATTATACATTAATATGCTATGAAATGCGAGCATTCTTCCTATACTAATAGCTCAAACTTGGTGGGACAAATTTGCTACCTGGTGGCCACCAGGTATCAAATTGACAATCGCGGATTAACACTTTTCACGACGCCTCATAAAAAGCCCGATTGATAGGTTGGAAGGTTATTCTTTATAAAGGCTGTAGGTATTCCTAGTTCTGTTTGCATTTTATGCACGGAATGGCAAATGTCGTACTTCACTCCCCGACGCCACCTCCATATAGTACCGCAGCGCCCTGCACTGATGGGACCACCCGCTGCCACGGAGAGTGTGTCCAGTCCCCTTTCTCGAGTGCAGGGACTGACCCTATCCACGCAATCGTCTCGCGAACCCAAACAACTCTCCGCCCCGCCACCACTTTGCAGTTCCTGGAAACCATGTGCGCCATTCCGTCCAGCGTGACAAAGCGCATGTTCTGCGTGCCCCGAAATAGCCACTATTCGCCACCCCAACCTCTCCCCCGTCAGCACCGACGAAGGCGGCGCACGCCTGGCGCTCCAGAGCCCGGATCTTCACGCCACTACCAAGTTAGACAGGATCTTCACGCCACTACCAAGCTCGGCGTGCTGTTGGAGCTTCCCCACCGCATTCGAGTTCGCCGATTTGAGCTGCTTTGCAGGCAAAACCAATTTGTTCGGCATAACTACGCTCTCCTTTTAATGTCTTATCTGTCGTGTGAAGGCATCAAGCGGAAAGTACAAAAGGCTGCTATTGGATTGATTTCTAGTCTAACTAAAAGGTTTGAGGGCATGCAGCGCGAGGACTGACTGGCACGAGCATAACATGCCGCTCGAACATACGCAATATATTGTAACGGCTGCGCGTGGAATTCTTTTCGTGGCCATGTTGCATGATGATAATTGTTTTGGGGGGTTCAAATCCTCAAATGCCAAGCCCGAAGAATTCTTTGCATGACCATTATATTGCTTCTTGTTTTGGGGGTCAAATCCTCAAATCCCGATGGGATTTGACCCGGAATTCCTTGGGAATTCATGAGGTCAAATTCCGAGATTCCGGCCCCGTGAGGCCTGTGTCCAGACGTATGAAACACTCCGACGGATCCACCACGGATTAGTGGTGGATTGGCGCGGATTAAAAATACCTTAATCCGTGACTTTTAATCCAAGTGGAAACAACCCCCCATTCAGTCAATTATATTCACTGCCAGCATTGTTCCTATCTGGCACTGTTTGTGAGCAATAAGTAAATCCGACCAAGCAAAGGCCCAAAGCAAGCAAACGCATAGCAAATCACAGGCCGTCACAATTTTCAGGCTTATCTTGCTGTTTTGGTGTTTGTTCGACGTTCAAGTTGTTGCCTTGTGCGTGTTTGGCTATGTGAGGACCGGTCATACATTCTGCTCTGCCGCGTTGACTCACGGGCTTGACCTTCTTACGGCCCCTCATATCTATCCTATGATCGATAATACTAAGTTCTGCACACTACGGAGCAATCCGGCAGCAATGGACGTTTTTGGCTGGAGGAATGAAAATGTACGGGTCGGCCTCAATTCATTCCGTTTTTCCAAAGGCCAAAATGGCATCTTTATTCCTTATAAGGGAATTATTACCTAAAAAAACACTGCTTGCCATTCGTCTTGATGACCATTGTAACCTTGTCATACGCCCGCATCAGCGACCGCAGCATTGACCCTTCAACCCCTCCCTCTTGCAAACGAAGCCACATTATCTCCCGCGGCACCTTGTCAAACGCCTTCTCAAAGTCAATTTGCACAATGATTAACGGCCGCTGTCCCGGTTGGCTGTGCCTAGCAGTAAGGTACTGCTTGGCAAAGAGGTGATGTGTAGTACCGAATCCTCATCTTTTGTGGCTGATTCCTATCATATGTCGCATTTCTCAGAAAGTAAAGAGCCTGAACCAACAACTCGATTCCATGCAAGTCGTTGATGTTCTGAGGTGCGAAGTATATTTGGCGATTGGGATTAACCTCAGCAATAGCCAGTTGGAGCCAGTGTCGGCAACCATGTGCTTGGGAATTTGTGTTCACTCTGTTTCTATGACCTTCACCACTCCGAAGGCAATGGTGCACACCTGCAGGCCATTGCATTGCGGGTGTTTTGGTGTTGAAGCGATAACCAGGTGCAGCTCTCGGTGGCGTCGATTCCCAGGGTACAGAACGCGACAGTGGATTTCCTCAGCAAGGAGTTGTGACTGGCAGTTGGCGCTGGATCAATGCAAGGTGGGGCCCACACACAGTGGACCGGTTTGCTTTGGACTGCAACACACAGCTGCCTCAGTACAACTCTTTTATTTACAGCCCAGGGACAGAACGGTAAAAAAACATTGCATCGTGTAGTGATGGCTGGAAGAGAATAACTGGTGCAGCCCGCCGTTTGCCTTAATTGGGCGGCTATGAAGATTCTCAAGGAGCAGCAGGCAGCATTGACGGCAATTTGGCCATCAGCAGTGTGGTGGCCTCTTCTTTGTCCTGAAGGGGACCGGGGACTATCACCCGGTGGATGTTTGCTCTTCCAGAGGCAAGGGGGTTATTTCATTCAGGGCCAGGATTCGCCAACGAAAAAGAGGACACCGGACCTATGTGGCAGGGTTTGAAGTTTGTTTTCAATCCCAGGTACGTCAAATTACTGCAAGCGACAAAACGTCTGGCGCGACCAAAGCTCCTGGAAGGCTTTTTGCAAATTTTGCGAGGAGGGGCAGTACTTGGTGTTGCCGGTGCACCCGTTGGTGGTGGTGTTGAGGGTGATCGGGGCATTATCATACTAAGTGAACCAGCATATATCCATCCCTTCTCCATCCCTTTGTTTATTACCGTGTAACCGAATTCTTGCAGAAAAGCTATAGGTTTTCTAGGATTTGCGAAGAAAATCAAGGTTTTTGCAATTAGAGGGTAGGACACAAGGTCGGGGAGAGCAATTCTTTGGATTGCCCCCGTCACACAATTCCTGTGCTTCCCTAATTCGACACCCCGAACAGGCCAATTCTGACTGTCCGAATGTCCCTGCCAGGCCAATTCAACACCCCGACAGGCTAATTCTGACTGTTGGAATGTCCCTGCCAGGCCATTTCGTGTCCCTGTCAGGCCAATTCAAGGGCCTGTCCCGGCAATTCAACTTGTCCCAGGTATAGACCCCGTGCCAATTTCAACCCTTCTACCAAGCAATTTAGACCAGTTGCAGGGTCTGCACCCCCAATGGCATACTCCCCCAATGGCCGGTTCCAGCCCGGTTCCGACCTAACAGGTCCAGTTAACAAGATGGGTAACCGGTCGGTAGGATTACCGGGCGAACCGTTATCCGTTAACCGTCCCCAGTAATCGGTAACCGATGTCGGTAACCTGGCATGAGCAAAAATGCATTTCTGATTGCAACCAGTTTCTTTGTGAAAATGCCCATTGTCACAAGGTTCATGCCCACGTGTCACACCCCGACAAGCTTGAGGAGGTTAAGGCAATGTGAATGCCGGGTGACAGGGGTGACAGTCTTGTGCAGGCACATTTGGAGACTAGTTTACACTGAGATTGGGGTGATGTTGGATTAGAATACTTGCAGTTCATGAAATTGAGGAAATGTGTTGCATAGGCATATCCAAACGTTTCAGAGGGACGTTGTTTCGCCCGTAACAAACTTGTTACGGGCGAAACAAACTGGATTTCCACAGTCCCACCACTCAAAGAGCTCCCCACACCATCGCAAAGTCCCTTGTTTGACCGGAACGCCCTGGACAACATTGCCCGTCGGCGACAAGATCGCCCGCGCAAGAAATACAGCCAGCATCGTCCAGTGGATGAGTTTGGCGTACATAAGTTTGCCAGGGCAAACAATCTAAGTCAATTTACCGCGTGCCAATTGGAGGATGCCTTGTCCAAGGAAAGGTGCCATATGGACGACCTTGTCAACCTATTGCGCCAATCTAGTGACATGGACGCAAAGCAGTTGCTTGGGGACATCGGCTTGACACCACTTCATGCTGCTCTGGTCGTCTCGAAAGTTTGTCCTAGCATAGCTTGCGTAGCTAGTATTGCCTGGTTTTAGTTGTTGCATGTAAGCTTGTGAGTTGGTGGCCTGGTTCATGCTTATGGGCGACAATTGAAATGCTGGGTGACAGGGGTGACAATAATGCGCGCAGGCTTGAGAGTGGGGCTTCTGGGCCCAGAATACATTGAAAGGCCGGGTGAGAGGGGTGACAACATTGCGTGATGGCTGTTGTGGATGGTGGGTGACAGGGGTGACAACAATGCGCGCAGGCTTGTGACAGAGGTGACAGCCTTGCACAGGCAGGTTTATGCAGATTCCAGGTGACAGGTGTGATGGCCTTGTGCAGTCAAGGTGAATGCCAGGTGACACGGGTGACAGTGCTGTGCACACATTAAGTATGACAAGGATAAATTTAGGTATGAATATGCTTAAGGGCATGGTGCCAAGATGATGTGGGAGGCAGTGATAACAGTACTGTCCCAGGTGTGTAGGCATGCAGGCAGGGTGCTAGGTAGGATGAATACCTGCACTGGGTAGCTGTAACGATTCAAGCAAGTTCTTACACACAGTCCAGACCGACCATTAACCCAACTGACCACTAACCCTTCCGACCGTTAACCCAACTGGCCATTAACCCAACCGACCGTTAACCCAACCGGGCCGTTAACGCCATTCAACCGGCCGGTTGGGTTAATGGGCCCCAAACGGTCGGTAACCGGCATGTTTATGCCATAGGGACCGAAACTCTCAGGCAGGCGTCCAGAATCACGGGAGTTGAAGGAACTTTATGAAACTCTGTAAGGGAAGCACTTACAAATATCTCTTCGATTCCGTACATGGGCCAGGAAGTGGAACCCTACACGACTGGTTGCCGTACTCCATATTCATTCATACATCCATTGTGTATGTTCAATGAAAAGTTACCACCACCCGAACCGACCAGAACCAGAGGTGTGTGTGCATGGCAAGCCGCTCACAGTTTTAACACCCCGTTTATTCATTCATTCATCCGTTCGTTCAGACAAACAGACATATCCACACGCTTTGTCTTGGGCTGTGCTTCAGCCCGGCTAAGGGCCCCCAGCACTCGACCATACGACATGTGTTCAACAAAAAGATACCACCACCTGAACTGACCCAAACCAGGGGCATGTAAAACCACCCCTTTCATTTGTTCATTCATTCATTCATCAAATCATCCACATGGACGAAGAGATGTAAGCACGCGCCCTGCCCTGCACTGTGGTGTGGCCCAGCACAGTGTAACACCCCATTCATTCAGTATAAGGAGGTCTCCTTTCGGGTGCTTTTGATTCGACGCCCAGACTTCGATCGGGCTTCGGCCGGCACTTCGGCCAGCACCCATTCTTCGACCTTTTGTTGGCGTGGCTGGCGCTTCTGCGTTAAGCCAGCATCAGCCCCCTTGCGACGAGAGAGCTTCTTCAATGTATATTGCGTTGTGCTGCTGCCCTCCATGTCCGCCAGCTCCCCGCCACTGAGACCATACACAAGGTATTTGCCATCCCGCTTGACGACATCTAGGTGAACAGACAGGGCCGTCACATCCTCACTAATGACCAGCGGGATGCATCGCTGCCCGAACTCACCAAGGACGTGATGCACCTATGTGCCCAGGGGAACATAGGGATTCCGTGATGAAACCCTCTTGATCGTCGATTATACTTGTGCAAAGCTTACCCCTCATGGCGCCACAACCGCTGGACATGTTCATGCCAACACACATGAGAGACATGAAGTCGTGCACAAGTGGACCGGCCATGTTCAGAATTAACGGGCAACTGAGATCCAATGGTTAACAAGTCACGGCATGTGCATGCGCACACCAGCCTACACTATTCCCGCATATTGACACTGCATCATACCTCGTTATGATGTTTCGAGCAGCCGGACAGTTCACTGTGTGATGCATCCACCTGAGCGTACACCTGTAGCCCCTCTCTTATCAGCCTGGAGAAGGGACGCCTGCCTCTAATCTCCCTGTCCAGCACCAGCCGATCTGCCTGCTCGGCGATCAATGCGGATGTGACCGCCTTGAGCCACTCAAAGAGCTCAACGTGCCCTGCAAACTCCAGTCCCTCAGCACCTCGACACCTGGGTCGGCCGCGACTCACCGTGTCACAGCAACTCGCAGTGCGGCAGAGTCGGCTGAACGCTTCCATTGGTAATTTCTGTTGAGGGCCTGACACGCGGCACACTGCCGTTCAGCTGAGGAGGAGAAACTGCAGACAACTGACCGGATGGAGTCAATTTCGCCAAAGTAGCCGGACGCTGGTTCTCCTGAAAGATCTAGCCGCCTGTGGTGCCATGTCAGGATTCCCATGTGGGTCAACATTTGTCAGGCGGACCAGATATTGAGAGGCACGTGACGAGCTATCGGACCCCATTAGTACCCTATTAAGTGGATCAGTCGGCACACAGAATTCCCTCAGGGTATCCAACACGCTAGCCTTGCTTTTGCCTGATCCACATGCACTGACCTTATCAGACCGCCATGCCGGGTACCAGGCCAGCGCTTACTCTGCATCACCTCCCGTGTCCATGTCGATGTGCCGTGGCCCCAGTACACGTGCTTGGGAACAGCCGTACAGGCAGGCGTAAAAATCGTCTCGCATTCCAGGGCATGACATCCCACCAATAACACGGCGCCGATGCTCGGCTGGTTGCTGTAGGAAGGCGGGGCGCCTGGACGGGCCCCTGGCGTGGGTAACGGACCAGGCAACGGTGCCGTGCTTCGAAGCCCGCGCTGCGCCACTAGGTCCGAAAACATGGCCTGCATACCGGCAGCCGCATCCAACACCGCCGGCGCGAAGGCTGCGAAGGACGTATAGTTAGCTCCGCAGCTAGATCCGTCGAAGCCACAAAGCGCCTGAACACGACACTGTGGATACAGAACCGTGCATGGCGCTGGGTGGCCACAGCAACACGAGTTAACCGTGTGCTGACGTCCACAGACTCTGCAATCAAGCTGACTTTTCTCCAGGACTTCCAGAGCAGAGGGCTGAGACTTCTCCGCTCTGAATACTTCCATGAATGCACCAATGGTTCATTTACCACCGTTCGACGCAAGGACCTACGGTGATAATATAAAATGGCATACTTAGTATACTGGGTTACAAGGATGTTCAGAAATGCTTCCCTGTTGTGTAAATGACTTCAGCTTTCAAAAGCGAACACGCCTCAGAGATGGCGCAACGACGACACAGAGATGTATAACTATGCCAAGAGCACTTCCGCTGCTGTGCACTGTCATGCTTTAATGCGATGCATCACGCTTCCGTACAACAAGAGTTGGGTAGGCATGTAGGCTTGGGTCACAAGCATGTCACAGTCGCGAACCTTACAATAGTATTAGATAGCTACCCAACTTCAGTGTGTCGCGATGTTTATCTAGAAGCTAGGTTACTGCGGTGAGCAAATGGCCGCGATCGATGTCACACTGGAGGACATTGTGGACGATGGAGATGCCCGGGACCAGCGGACACGCAGTCCCAACGACGCGGTGCGTCATTTCTTGCTTTACGTGTTCCCACCATGCAAATGCACCATGGTGCACTTGAAACCATCCGCCTTCACTAGGGGTTCATGTAATTCTCTACTGCGTCTATAGGCTGAAATGGCGGCTCTCACGAGGTGCCTCCACGAGGCGCTGGATGGGGACGACGAACGGGTGGATGCTGTGCGCCAGTTTGAAGAAGTTCTCGGTGTGCGCTCCGTTGTTGCGTCATGGGACTTGTTCCGAGGTGAGAAATTTGGACTATCGGTTACAGAGAGAAAATCGCGAGTCTGTGTCAAACACGCGGGGCGGTGATGTCCCTGTGCAGTGCCGAAAACAGTTGGAAACATTGCAAACGGTGTTTTGAGAGACCGTGTGTCCTTACGTACACCCCCACCCATGCAGAAGATTTACAGCTCTCCCCGTTTCGTGCCGCCACGGCACTGAGAGGGAGCGTACCGGGCCTTAGATCCGTCTAAGGCCATAGATGACAGAGGGTGGAGGGAAGCGTTACATGTGCGAGCAATGTGGTGACTACGATTTTGAATTCCAGTGAGTCGCGTGACAAGCTGAGCCTCACTCGTGTGACACATGGTTTGTGCTGACCCAACTGGTGTGTATTGATGTACAGGTCAGCAGAGATCTTAAGGGAGCAGCTTGTTCGGGGGTGCTGTTCACAGTTTCGCAACTTGTTGCTGGATATTCAAGACAGGCACCTGTATAGTTGCTGTGGCGCGCTCTGTAGCTGAGACACAACCCCTGAGTGGGCGGCTCGTTGAGCAATGTGCATTTGAGGTCACAGGCAGGAGCTGTTTGCTGCGGGGCACTACAACCATGACTGGCAGCGACAACAGCAGCAACAACAGCAGCGGCGACATGGATGTCAGCGAAAGCGAGTTTGGTGAAGGAGGCTATATGGTTCGAAGTGCAGGGGTTGGGAATGTGCGCCTGTTTCTCTCCAGTGAGAGCCCGGAGTGTTTCACCCCACTGAGTATCATAGAGCACGAGGTGTACGAGGTGTTCACTCCTGGTGGGATCAACCTGGACCCATGCTTTTCCGCGGCTGCTAACACACGTGTAGGGGCGACAGTGTATTACGATATGGAATCCGATGGTCTGCTGGAGTGCAGCACATGGATGGGTGTTTGATGCGCGACGGAGTACATGGCTGATTGCATTGGCCAAGCAGTACTGCTGCTGAAAGCCGCTGTGGGTTATGCATGGTTTGATGCCATACTGCAGTGGCCCGTCTATTTTCTGCGCCAACCTTTGGTGTTTGTGCGTGGACAATCTGGGAGCCACCAGCACGTGGGAGGACCCCTGACATGGGGAGCGCGGGTCGCCAATCCACACGGAAGTGTGGTGGTTTACATGGGCCCAGATGTGCAACGTTTTGTGCCAGTGTTTGGTTACATGGGCGGAATACCATGGGCAACTTCATGGGCCATGCCCCGCCCAACGGAGAGCTCGATGGATTGAGGCACAGAACACACATGGAGCACAAATTCTTCCCCACAGACATCTGCATTTTCATTTGTTTTCATTGTAGCTCGTGGTACTGAGTTTAGTGGTGTGTATCAGAGATTCCCCATTGTTTCCACCCGAACCTATTCATGCATATGAGTATTGTGGGATAAACTGGACAAACTGCCGATGAAGTGTGGTGGGAAAACAGTGGGGCCTTGGCGGCTGACTTGGGTATTGCAGTTGTGGCCCTGAGTGCTTGCCTCTGGTAGCGGCTGCTACTGCAGCTGCAGCTGCAGCTGCAGCACTGCAGCAGCAGCAGCAGCCACGTTAACCATTAACGTTTTTCGACTCCCGTTACACAGTACTTGCAGCAGCAACCACCTTGGCAACTCCCCCCTCCCTTTAAACTACTTACAATCCACTCGTATCGTCAATCCTACACCATAACGTAATTACCAAAACTTCACTTATCACGGTCTGGTGGATCTTTCCTAAAATATCCCTCGTACCCCTTAAGACTCTGAAGTCTGAGCTTCACCGTCACACCTTCCTGTAACAACTATACCCCCTATCCCCACCTTATTCCAAACATCCCTTCACATTCTGACATTACGTAATAACTAACTCTGTAACAAACTCAACCGTCTCACTGTTATTCTCTTACGAAAGCCTGGGCGATACCCTTTTTTTCTTTTTTACTTTTTCTTAACTACCATATCACCTTTCCAACAACTCGCCAACGGCAAAAGCCAGCAACACAATAACTCCCAATTAACTATATGCGCCAGGGATACAGACTATCTCCCCTCAACCCAACACAAAAAAAACCCAACGCCTACAAAAATATTCCTTTCAACAAAAGTATACTACTCCCAAACCGACACTTCGCACCTCCCGCCGGCGATACAGCTCATTCCAGGGAACCACACCCTCTCGCAACGAACACTCGATTTAAAGAAGCGCGCTCCTTTTAATACATATACTGATATCTCGTTCACCATTTTTTCCCAAACTCGCTCAATCGCGCCTATAACACCGAACGCCGTCATACCTATAGCCACACCTATAGCCCACACCTTTCACATCAAATACCACCACTCTTCACTATCCTCATCTACAACAACTTATCTTTATTCCCTATAATCCACAAAGACCTACAATCTTCGCGCGGTGCTATCTTGCACAACGCCACCGTTCGAACCTCATCATCGCCCACCAACAGTAAGTCCTCCCCAGCCGTCCGCCTTTCTTTTTCCTCGCAAATATTCCATCGCAACACAACTAGTTTTCAATTCAAACCTCCGTGATTGCTCGTCGAGTACCCATATCTTACATACCCGCCATGCCAACTCGTAACTGCTCATAAACCTCCAAACCAGGCTCCTACACCCACTGCAATTGACTTTACAACTCACTATCATTACGTTTTTCATTCAGGCTCGTCCTCGCTCACCACTTGACAACCACCATCGATTGGACTAAAACCGCTCTGCGAACACCAACTACCACCACCAAACTTCTTCACCACTGGTACAGTTCGCCCACTACGGTCAGTTTACGATTTCTACATCTCAGGGGGCTCTTAGCATAGCAAAGCACCTAAACTTAGCGCAAGAGTCACCTGATGAGGCCCTGGCAAGGCCGAAACGCGTCGTGACGTGCCTTGCTAAATATAGCTTCAGCGGCTTTCTTTAGGTCAGCTTGCACTCGCTTAGCAGCCCATCTAGTTCTCTTCCAGCTACACCCAGTTTTCCTTTTTTCACTACTTTCCACGCACTACACCTATAAAACTCTCAGCTTGGACCAAACCCCTCCCGGCACTTATTTTTCCTTAACACTCCTTCACCTCAGCCAAAACTCCACCTCTAGATTTTTACATCTCACCTATACACAAAAACTACTTCCAAGCCCTCCACACACAACATACCTTCGATAAATTATACTTGTCACTTTTTTATCCCCTCAGCCTAAACCTTCCAAACCTCTCTCACAAAACATACCAATTTCTCAACCCTAGCTAATCGCCCCTAAACAGACTCTATAACACATACCTCTCCTTCCAGCTTCTCTTCTTTAGATTTTCTTTTTAATCTATACCTGCGATTCTCTTTAAAGTTTTTTCCTGATGCTAATAAGTTTTTATGAATTCCTAAAAAGTTTTTAAAATTTCCAGAACTTAACAAGTAATTTAGTTTCTAAAGTTAAAATTTTCTAAGCAAAATTATTTTAATCAAATTTTTTAAAGTTTTTTGCACTAACGAAGGGTTGACCTAAGAACCATCTACCAGCAGCAGGAGGAGCAGCAGGAGGAGGAGGAGGAGGAGGAGGAGGAGGAGGACGAGGACGAGGAGGAGGACGAGGAGGACGAGGAGGAGGACGAGGAGGACGAGGAGGAAGACGAGGAGGAGGACGAGGAGGAGGCGGAGGACGAGGACGAGGAGGAGGCGGAGGAGGAGGAGGAGGAGGAGGACGAGGAGGAGGAGGAGGACGAGGACGAGGAGGACGAGGAGGAGGAGGAGGACGAGGACGAGGACGAGGAGGAGGACGAGGACGAGGACGAGGAGGAGGACGAGGACGAGGAGGAGGACGAGGACGAGGACGAGGAGGAGTGCTGCCCGAGTACGGTAACCAGGTGTGCAAGTTTTCCTGCTCCATGTCCTGGGATCGAAACCAATACGCACATGAGGCACTTGTAAGCGGTCGCCTTGCAAAGTTTTTATGTAAATTCCTCGAAAGTCATGTGCTTTTGGATGCCAGCCCGAGCCAATCCTGCCAACTTGACAGCCAATTCGACACCCTGAACACGCTAATTCGATACCCTGCAAGGCCAGTCAACAGGTCAATTCGATACCTTGCCAGGCACCCTGTCAGGCCAATTCGACACCCGGACAGGCCAATTCCAAGGCTCCACAGCACAATTCCAAGGCCCAGCACAGCCCAATTCCAAGGCTCCACAGCGCAATTCGAATACCTCCAGCGAGCCCGCCAGAACAATTCAAGACCCCGACGGACTCACTCTTTCGTCAGGAATGAAGTCCAAGCTAATTCTGCGACAGAGCTCTTCCCTAATTCCAGCCCGAATCCTACCTTCCTTTGCAATGTACGACGGACGAGCATTGCTTGGTTCTGGAGCGGAGAAGATCCTTTTGAGTCGTGGAGTGTCAGTGTTTGTTACATCACGCACAACATTGTAGCACTACTAAACTTGCTGACTTTATGGCCTAATTGTGAGGCCGTTTTACTGCTGTCCTTCATCGGTATGTCCTTCCCTTCTCCATCCCTGCTTTCTTTATTACCGCCCCAGTGGGGCAGTGTGTGCTTAGCGTGTAACTGACACTTTGCAGGAAACATAGTGGCCCTGCTCGAAATGCGCCGCACCCTGCATCCTGCACCCTGAGTGCCGGGTGGGGTTCTGGCGGTAACGGAAGATGGTTGTTGCTGCAGCACAGGTCAGGCGCCTATCCACTAATCCCTGGATTCTATCATTTCGTTGAAGGCAAATGTGACGCCAGGGCCTGCACCATAATAAAAACACCAACAATCACTTCAGTGTTGGGCCTGTGCCTGCTTCTGGAGCCCAACTGGTGCAGGGGCTACGCCTTTCTTCAGCTTCGACCAAGCTGACCCTTCTTGTTGTTGCCAACAACCGGTAGTGTTGGCAAGCGCTTTCACGTCTTAGTGGCATGGCTCCTATGGGGACACACACCTTGATGGGTATCACCACATTACACCCAAATTATGCACTTAAGATCAGTAGCTTCACCACGGTGTCAAATCCGCTTGACAATCTGAACAATGTCTTCATCGTGCAGGACATGATCCCTTCCCACACGTTGTGGTCGATGTTTCACGGAGGAGCCCCACACCAGCGCATACTTGAACTGTTTGATAAGCGTCTTATGGATGCGGTTGCAGAAGTCCTCCACAGTGCAGTGCTGCCGCTGTAGCACAACAGGCTCATTGAAATCGGGCAACCTGCCTGGGATAGGTGAGGATAAACAGTACAGCGCATCCTTAGTGCATGAAACGGACCACTTCATGAGATGAATCAGAATACTGAGGGAACATCTCTAGAACGGAGGTTTACCCATATACCGCAATTCAAGTTTTGTGCCATGGGTTTATAGGTGAATGTAGACTCTTATCTATTAACCGATACCTAAAGACCATGCCTTATAGTCCATAGAATCGACATAGGTCTAATCGGTCGCCCTGTGGATCATCTGTAAACTATAGATATCTGTAAACAATAGATCCTTGTCTAAATACGCGCCCTATAGATGTCGTATATATATATATATATATATATATATATATATATATATATATATATATATATATACAATATTGTCAGGTGCAGCTGAAGACCAGTGTCTAACACGCCCAAAACGTATTATACTCGCTAGGAGAAATGAAAATTGCAAGTATATTATGCAGAACGTTCTCTCCGTACAATGCTCTATAATATCCTGCTCTCAGCATTGCAATTTACAGAACTCAACGATCATGAACAATTTAAATCCTGGATTACACAACAGTTGCACTGAAATAAAACTACCCAGAAAAAGAATGTGATGAAATTAAATCTTTGCTTTAGAGCACTCAAAATTGACTTATTACATCGGGTGCACATCTGTAGGAGGGCAAGTTCACGGGTTCCCTAGTGTTATGCTTTGTGGGGAAGTAGGTTTTCAGTCTGCCTGCAATGTCTGAGCATTAGAGAACCAGCCTATGGGTACAGGACACCCCTATTTAGCTTGCACCTTGAAGTATGGTTATTCTCAAGAATGCCTGTACTGTATATAAAGCTTCATTTCATTATGAGGAAACGAGGGCTACACTCCATAAACATGTAGAGCCAAGGGCGCATACGGGATAAAAAAAGAAAGGTCCTGCGTATTAGTACGATTGTACCTACCCATGCGGCAAAGACTACAGTGCAGATACGATTCGAGTTTTATGTAAAGCAAATTTCGCATTTGGCAAAGTGTTGTACTGCTTTGCAATTTCATGAGCCTTTACTGTCAAGTTAATTAATATCAGGTGCCTCTTCCACCAGGATGGAGAGCGCCCTTATACATTTCCGATAACAGCATGACCTTTTCCTTAAGCCATTTCCTACCTCATATGCAGTACCGTTCATGCTGTACCGAAAAATAGTAACTGCTTAGGAGGGCCTGGGAAATCCCTATTACATATCTTGATATCAGGCCAGTAATAGCTGTATTAGAAGCAGCCATTACTGCAATACATGTGCTGTACATTCCCCGAAAATCTTTTGTACAAGCAGCTCTGTGACATACCCATGAAACCTTCACTGGCCTTGGATAAGCAGCATCTGGACAGTAAGAATTAATCACCGCATTGGTTGAAGATAAAGATTCACAGATGGCGAAATCCAAAGACTATCTAGCTTCACTCTGTCACAGCGACTCCTCAACTCCTGCAGTGACAACGCTTGAGCACAACCTTACATATATCCAACGTGTACAACAGTTGCTTTTCATGATGAGGTTCTACTCATTCTGATCAATAGGATATGTAATTCGCAAAATGTCAACTGCCGCAACTGCAAAATTTCAACAGCCTTGGTGGTGCTTTGATGACCCTCCGAATAGTGCAGGTTCTGACAATTTAGTGTTTCCCAGCAGTGTAGAACAAAGCCACTCATTACCCCTCTGTCTGCCTACCCTTTGGCTTGGTGTAGACCCGCACCAGGTCCAGGTAATCCCATGCCATCTCAATCAGCCCGTCCAAATTCCACTCGTGAAAGGCACAAATGGGGCAGTAGTGTGGTAACCTGGCCGTCAGGTTTCGCAGTGAGAGGGCAGGCAGGTGGAGGTGGTGATAACTGACACAGCAGTCATGAAGCGGGCTCACCTATATGTAAACATGTGAGATGTGGGCAGGCTGTAATGGAGGACTGCACCCAATCATTCATCCACTGTTGCCTTAACACCCAAATTTCCAGGCATTTCATGCATTCACCCCTCACTGCTCACTTGTCCATGACCTCCAACTCCTCAATGGTTATTTGGTCGATTTTATTGATGACATAGATGGCGGGAATGTAGACGCGGGAACCCTCAATGACATCAACTAGGTCGTCGATCTCGTAGTCATCGTTCACATGGATATCGGCGTTATGGATTCTGCAGGCTCCGACATCCCAGGGGCAACAGTGTTAACGGTAATTTTGCTATAGCTCTTCAAATGCGATAGATCAGTCTGGCAACCTGGAGGACATAACAAGTCCCTTCATGCATGGGAGTGCAAAAATGTGTCCCAAATATTGCGTGAAACACACTGTGTGTACCATACGCAACAGTATTTTCATTAGTGTTTTCTTTGCGGAATAAATTCCGAATTCGGAATAAAAAATTGTTCGCGGTCCTGAAAATTAAGTATAGATAATGTTCCGACCGTACAAGTTCATTCCTCCAGCTAAAAATGGACTGTCAATGCCAAAGCCGCTAGAATCTTACAGGAGACATACATGTTAACCATACCATAGTACTTTAATGGCATGGATACTGTTAGGAAGGTCACGCCCGAAAGTCAACGAGGAATCGAACTGTTTCTGACCGGACCAAACGCGCAAAAGATTCGGACCCGAAGCTCCCAAAGTGTGACCGGCCATTAAAGCAAATATTAAACTTCACTGAAGCCATTAACGACGTTAATAAGACGGCGTAGAGGTCGTGGGCAATGTGGACGCAATGCTGCAGCCAGCCGACGACAATGACGCCACCACTCCGGTTGTCAACAGCGAGCGGGCCAAACGTCAACGTTCTTCATATGGAGGCAATCGCGATGGGCCAGGAAACACGGGCGTCGAGGTCGATGGCAGCAGCGACCTAGGCTGGTTATGCGTTCGGCGGTTCCGGTTCATTGCTGCTATGCATCATTACTTCGGCAATCTGGTAAGTCGTGTAATGTTATCTTTCAACGTGATGCAAAACGAACGACGGTGAACGAACTCTATTCGATCAGTGCTTGAGTAGGGGTTAAATAGTCTGTGTTTGCTTGGGCTCTGCAACAGCAGTCGCCCGTGCAATCGGGGTTCCTGTCAAAGCGTCCAAGTGCGCGCTGCTTCCTGGCGTGCAAGCGACACCTCGCTGAAGAGATTGTGGTGTGCGCGTTTTGCGACATTCCCAAACCCTGTGTTTGTACGAACTAAACTATAACTCATCGGGGGTGTCTGGGGGGGCGGAGGCCCCCATCGCCTTACAGATTCGGAATACTTTTATTCCCGCGCCTAAAAACCTATTCCTCCGTTCGGACTGCAAAATTGACGGGCAAAAATGAAAAAACTGATTTTCAATAGTGCGTCCCGGGTTAACTAATTTAGCTCTTTTAACAAGGCCTTATCCCTTGCTTGCAAGATTGCATTAATGCTTCGCGATTTGCACCCACAGACAGGCCAAACGGCTATCTGGTAACTACCCCGTGGAAGCGTCACATGATCCCCAACATTTTGGAAGCACCTGTTAAAAGACGGTACCAGGTTGGACAAACTTCATTTACTCCTACTTGCCTACTTCCTTCTAATAGTAGTCGTACGGTTGTAATCAAATTTTCAATTATAACGGTATTATAATGCATAGGGCCTCATGCTGTTATATCAGCAAAAAATTACAGTGGAGCAGTATCCTTAAGCTAAAGCCGAGCCCAGTCGGAATTTGCTCTAAATTCAAGTATCGACATAGCGAGGATGAAGGGCCGGGCCATTGCATGCAAGCTAAGCAAACCGATTGAAACGTCACCTGGCTTGAAAGCCAAATGTTGATAAGGACAAGATGTAGGCCCGATGAAAAGCCTGACTGTAAGCTTAAAACGGACTGCCACTATGTTCGCAGGGTGCAAATATCCAGACTTACCGGTACTCTGAGCACACCGCCTTGACCGTATCCAGGTCCAGCTTCAGGTTTTGAGTAATGCACGTGAAATTGATGCCACCACGATCCTTCTTCCTGAGCATCGGCACCGAATTGCATAGACGTATATTGCTCTCCGTCCACCAAGAGCAAGGGCCTACCATTGCCATCTAACAACTGTAGTCTGCTCCAGGTTCACAACGCGTTTCTTAAGCTTCAATGGGCGCCAAGTCATAATGTGGTAAAGCATGTAAGTCCTATCACCGATGGAAGTTGTACAAACGATGACTTCCAGCCCTGGCCGCCGCTGTTGGACAGTTCAAATCACCTACACGATGCATTAAGACTTGCACAAATTTCATGTATCGTTCGTGATATAGCAACGCCTTCAGTCCTGAAAATGCACATGTTGCAATGTGCTTCACAGGTTTCCTGCTCACAGGTTTCCTGCCAACCGTACATGCATGGTACAACACCTGGGAATGTGGCGGATTTCAGGGCAGTTCACGTGTGCTCACTACACTATCACTTATTACACGACCTGCAGCATCTGAAACCCATATGCTTGCCTGCATACGCGTAATATGAAATTTCATGATATACTTCCTTTCCAGCAACCAAATGAACAAACTGCGGCCCGACAAAACCTATCATTGTGATCAGTGCAAACAGTTAATCAGGTGTCACATGCAGGATTTACAGGCGTAATATGCACGAACATTTGTCTGGGCTAAGATGCAGCGTAGGTACAATGCAGGGCTGCAGGCTTATATTGTTTCAGGGTGCAGTTTGGCTGCTATCGGCCGGCCAAGTTGGCGGTGTCAGGACACAGGTCGTATTCAGCTACACTACACTGCATTATTATACAGCAGAAAAGGAAGTAAATCAGCTTACTAAGCTACAGCATGACAAGAAAACCTTGCTTAAGCATATATAACACCAGTCAAGGAGAACCTTGCATCTATTATATATGCTTAAGAGATGCAAGGTTCTCCTTGACTGGTGTTGCGCCAACAACGAGGAATTATAAAGGATATGGTCAGGGTTCGCAAATGAAGACATTGAAGCTGAAGTTAGGGCGCTGTGTTCTGTTGGCAAGGCATTGCACTAACATAGCCTCCCATGCCCCACATGCATGCACTTGTAGGGCGTAATTCCATGGTACTCTCAAATGTCCTACACAAACCGCACATTATTAGCCCACAGTATCAACCATGAGACCATAACACTCTAGACGAACCTGAATGTAATGTTTGGCGGCTTCTTATTGAGGCGAATGCCAAAACCCTGTGGATTTGATTAAGGTTGCATTCAGTAGTAAGTGGATTGCATGTGGGCTATTGGATATATAGACAATGACACTCCACATCAAATATGCGCCAATGACCTTAACCACCAAGCACTCTGCCCAACCTTTAGGCTCAATGCGCTTTCCACGACTATCCCTTTAAGAGACTAAAGCAAACCTCACAGCCCTGCCGCCTGGTTAGCCTGTGGCCCCACCTCCAGCTCATGCTCGATGAGACGCTTGTGAGTGAGCGGCTTGAGGCAGTCCAGGACAATGAGAATAAGGTTGCAGGTGCGGGCAGTTGAGATGACCTGTGGCCACGGTGGGCTAATGCTCACATGCAGTACTTGGCCATGGGATTATATGGCAACACCCATCACTAAAGCTACTGCTAATGCCATAGTGCAACCTTAGCTGATATATCCAAAAGACGCTAAAAAAATCTGCACTCCAGAGCCATGCCCAGAAATCCTAATGCAGCTAAGATATGGCAACACCGAATCCAAACACGCAAGCTCTTTGGAATGGTTATTACCCCACCCAATTGTAATTGAGGTAACCGAAAGCATTAACAATGCAGTGAAGTGAGCCATGGAGATACACCTGGGTGCTGCCCGGCAATTGAAACCAGAAGCTATCAAGCAGCACTATCCTGAATTGAAACTCAACATGTGAGACCCAGGCAGATTGTGCCATGGATGGGATATTCTGCGGTGACACTAAATTTTGCCACCATAAGAGTTCCTCCAAAAAGGCTAATATCTCGATCATAACTATTCGTAACTATTCGTTGCCCACATCAGTCATTCAACCCGAGGTGTTTATATTACCTGCCGACCGCGACCCTTGCCATCCTTGGCGCCTTCAATTATGCCAGGCAGGTCAAGCATTTGAATTTTGGCTCCACGATAGCGTACAATGCCGGGGATGCATGTCAGCGTCGTGAACTCGTAAGAAGCAGCCTGTGGGTTGAGGACCACTGTGCCAACCTCCTGGACTGCGTAAGAAAATCGCAGAGCATCCTAACTGTGTTCAGGAACCTGTAGGAACCTGTCCACAAAGTCATGGTACAGGCCTGCCGTTTCACAGGTGCTGACACCGCTCACGTTCCTCCAAGAATTTAGTAATTATGCTGTGGTATCACGAGTGAACACTGTTTGAATCAAATCTCCACCATTGGCTATTTTATATATTCTTTAGACAGGATCATCGTATAACAGGTATGACCGAGATGTAGATTGTATATATTCATGGTATAGATTGGTCTATATAGATCATGCCATGATATAATAAATAGGCCTGAAAATAGATGGTCCATAGACACTCCTCAGTTTCACAGGCAACAGTGTCGATAGGAATTTAAGCACCTATATGACGGCTCTTCCGCAAGCGCGTTTCCAACTTACACATCCGACAACTAATGGCACGGCTCTACTCACCAATCATTTTGCCCCCTGTTCATTGTGGTTCTGTGCCATAAGACTACACACCGGCTCAAATGCATGCTCTTTGATAAAACCCTGAAAGAGCCCGCGTCAAGCTTCCTTGCGAGTATCCATTGGGGGGTAACTGTTTGCACACCTCCGAATAGGTCCCAGTCAACTTGGTCAGAAGTGTTGACTTGCCCACAGAAGGGAAGCCGACGAAGCCCACTCGAGCATCACCCACCTTAGTAACATCGAATCCTAGACAGTGTTAGCAGAGGTAGGAAGGAGGGAGGACGACAACTTGACAAATTGAGGTGACCATGTACAGCTTCATGTATGGAGGAAGGGATTGGTTTTAATTGGGCTTGGACTGGGCCACCCTAGACAGAATTAAGGTAAGCATCCAGGCTTGTGAACCTTTCGTACCTGCAACACTTTTAAGTTTTCATCACTGCATTTCAGGGAGTGCTGCAAGCATGTCCAGACAGCGGAAATCCTTGCTCTCTCATTAAACCTATCTCCTTTGTGCCGCCCACCTTCGCCACTAGGCCCTCCTTTCACCCCACTGCCGGGCTCCAAGAGATCTCGACGTAACTTAGCAAGCTTCGCCTACAAGGTAAAAATCATGGGCATGGTAAAGGCACACACCACCATAGAAGCGACACTCATGGGTAGAGGACTGGAAAGGCCCAGATGATGGCCAAGCAGATAAACAGTAATATCTGCTACGATGTGAGCTGGCGGCTGGGGAATATGGATACTTGGTGCGGGAAGGTGTGAGAGCAGTGTCCCTGGGTTCGCAGGATTGGCTCCTAGCTTCCCAGCAGAGTAAAAGCCGTGCACCATGTTGACGGATCAATGGTGAGTAATCTCAGTCATAGTGGCATGCAAGCTGACGAGGAATAACTCATGCTGCCTTATATTCGGCGGATTATACTGCATTTTGGTGGTGGATGCTGACACTGAACCGGAAGCCAGCTACAGTGAACGAATTAAGGTGCCCTCATTACAGAAAGGGCAAGGGAACCTGGCGGATGAAGTGGCCGCAGGTGATGATACCCATCTGTCATCGCATTCAAAAGGGAACAGCCCTGCGAGTGGGCTGCAGAAACATGTTTACTTGCTCAACAACGGAAATGTAATACGCTAGGCACAGTTACGCAGCCCATGTGAGGTGCCAGATTGACAGGGTGGTGTCTGAAGCCGGAAGTATGGAAAGAGGCCCCACAAGGGCTACACGAAGTAGACGAACGAGTGGAATTGCTGATAAACAGGCCACTGTCAGAAGGTGTGGTATTGGAATTCAAGGACCGATTGGTGAGTGGTTGGAAGCATACGCGTCTAGATATCCAGCCAGACGTGTGCCCGTCAGATGGCAAGCAACCAGGAGTTCACCTGGTGGAGTGTAAGCATGGCATGGGTCTGGCGGCCGAACAAGCTGGCAGGAAGGAGGTGCTTCCGCATCACAACGTTTGTCCCGCGTTCAACGAATCGCATGCTTATGCAGTTTAGGCTTTGCTGATGGGCATTGGCGGCTAACAGAGCACGTACGGGACGGCGTTACATACCTCGGGAGGAGTGAGTATGCTGCGGCACTGATAGCCATATCGAAGATGAAAAGGACGTTTTGCTGGACTGTCCGGTGTACGACAAAATCAGATTTGATATGAATTTCCCACGCTTCGAGAACAGGAAGGACGCTATGAAGTGGGAACCTGAACGCCTGGCAAGGATGCTGGAACATATATGGTCTCACCGCAGCTCTATCGTTCCCTTTGGTCCTTAATATCCTTTATCACTTGCTTTGCCTGAAGTGCGAGCTAAGATAGTGTTAATAGGCGATCTGGCAGCCCTTGAGCCCTCGGGGATCGTATTTGGGCGGTTTGCAGGTATGGGGAACGCACCCATGACCATATAACACATACATGAATGAAGCCGGAAGAAGGGCGGAGGCCCATGTGCGCAAACTGCTGGGCTGCCTCGCTGTGCAGAGAGATCGGGAAAGCGAATGCAGTTTGCAAGCGCAGTCCGCAAGCCGACATTGCAAGAGCAGTCGGGAAGCTAATCGGTCGAAATTCGCGCGCGTCGGTCACCGACCCGTGATCCCGTGCCCCGGGATCGAGACTACTACCATCCCGTGAAGGTAATCGGTAGTATCAAGCGCGAGGATGATGCGAGTTTCGTGAGTTGCAAGGTGCATGCCAGTACGGCGGCCAAATTTGGACATCAACCTCCCAGAGTCTCCAAAAGGCTCCAGAAGTATCAGCATACTGAACACATGTAGGAGGCCTGGACACATGCGATCACCAAAGCGCCGGCCAGTAAAGATGGACGGACAGCGCCAAGGTGCTTTGATGCGGCCCCTCGAAGGTCCTTAACGTCTGCATAAAAGATCATCTTATACCATTAGGGAAACGCAAATCATATTGGGAAGCGCGAGGCCTTCGGCACGGCAACCCGCCGCTGCGGAGTGCGGCACTGGTCATGGGTAGATGGTGATGGTGGCGCAAGTTGCATGTTCGAGAAACGTTGATGTGACGTTGACCTCGGCCGCCATTCTTGTATACACTAATGCGATGTTTGTTAGCTACAGGAAAAGATACCTTGTGATAAAGATTAGGCGAGGTTACGCAGGAAGGAAACGCAAATCAAATCGTGACACACTAGGCATTCGGCACGGCGCGCAAGTTGCATGTTCGATTCTCAAGAGGCCGTCATCTGCATGTCCTTTAATAAGGAACACGGCAGCGATGGGCCGAAATATAGCGCGAGAAACGTTGATGTGACATAACGTATGAGCCAATTTTCTTTGTGCTCATATGAATGTGTCATCGACTTGCAAAATGCAATACAATATTCCCGAAGAAACAGAGAGCAAGTAAAAGAAAGGCAGAAACACGTCAGAGGAGGCAGGCGAGGAGGCAGAGGACAGAGGCGGCGGGGGAGAAGGTGGCAGGGGATAGAGGCGGGGGGAGCAGGTGGCAGGGGATAGAGGCGACAGGGGAGGAGGCGGCAGGAGATAGAGGCGGCAGGGGAGCAGGCGGCAGGGGATACAGGCGGCAGGGAAGGAGGTGGCAGGGGAGGAAGCGGCAGGGGACGAGGAGCGGAGCGGGGAAGCGGCACCCCACCTCTTTCTTCGAGCACATAGAGCCGTAGGCTCCCTTACTCATGGACTATTTACGGCTTTCCATACTGCGTTTTTAGTGGGGCGAAATATTAGGTTTGGTCGTTAGAAACGGCCACATGCCGGGGGCAATCCTACAGGGCAGGTGTAACGACGCAAGGCCTATCTGAGCATCCCGGGTTACGCCTTTGCTGTGTTACGGCGAGGATCCCTTGACCCACTTCGCGATGGGGACCAAAACATAGAATGTCCCACAAAATGTTCTCTCAGTAGAGGTAAGGAACACTATACTACAAGCCCTTTTCCCCTGTAATCGGCAACTTCGTCCCAGCCTTAGCTGAGGGCCTGGTGGCGTTTCAGATAAAGCTTTCAAGAAAGGAGGAACTAACAAGCAAGGAGGAGAAACATCTGGAAGAGGCAAATGGGACTGGCAGAAGAACTTAACGCACCTTGAGCATACCCAGATGGCCCATGGTGGCCTTATTCTTCTGTGTCCTTGCCATCTGGACAAGGCAACATGCCGGAGTTAGCCTTCTGCAGCATAGCGGCTTCGGCGGTGGCCCGTCATAGTTTACCTCGTCCTCAACGTCCCTTATTTTCTGAATAATACTCATTTCTTAAGTCGGCACCTGAAAGCTTGCCCTGGTTATAATCCAAGTACACAGTTGTGCAATTTGACTTCTCGCTGTTGATGCGCGGCCGAAATATTTTCTATGCTTGGAAAAGCTTGGGCAAAAGCAGCTGCACAACCGCCCGACCGGCACTTGGGGCCTGGATACAAAGGCCTGACGCTTACGGAATAGTCAAAATGTGCATTACCAATGATTCCGCAGCAACCACTCCTCAATTACTTCAAACTAAGGAATTGGGCCCTATATGGACAATAAGGCCCACTGCATGGGCGTGTTCCCACTTGGTTTAAACGTCGCTTTAACGTAGACTTTGTCGGTCGCATAAGGAATCATCGGGCGGATTAGGGCGGATTAGATGGATGAAGGCTTGGCGGGATTCGTCAGGGTTCTACGCCCATACTCGCGCGTTTCGCGGATTAAATGTTACACCTGGCTCAGCGAATCAACCAAGCGATAAGAAAATAGTTAAATACATTAATAGAAAGTAAAAGTTCTCTGAAAAATTCGCATAAAGGGGCTCCGTACGCGAAAAGCCGAAGGGCCCAGTGGAAACGCCTCGGACACTAAGTCCGCCTTAGTGGCACACTACTTATCAGGGCCTCAGACCGGCTGATGACTTTCAAAGTGGACATTAACTTCCGAGCGGGAAAATTCATAGTCAGTCATTTTCCTTCCTCAAGGTCCTTCGTTGACTTTTGTATTTTCCTTGATCCACAGCCGCAAATAGCCCGCTGACCAGTGGTATTCACAGCAGGACCGGTCGAATTGCCCACATTCCAGCAATTAGCCGACCAAACTGTAATGATTTGCGCATTAAAATTACACCCACTCTTACTATAACAATGGTGTGCTGCAACCTGTCGTATGGTTACGGGGCGCTTAGTGGAAACACCTTCTCAATAGCCACACACTAAGTCCACTTAAAAAATAATGTTGGAAAGTTAGTGTGCGGCCAAGTGGAAACACCCTGTAACCTACCAAACATAATATGTCGCCCGGCTGAAACACGTTATTGGTAATATATTGCATGCTCTATTGCAAGGTATCTCGCCTGTAGCCAACAAAAATCCTATGAGCAGAAACAACTTTAGCGGCCTACATTGACCGAGGTCAAAGTCACATCAAAGCCTCTTCGGCTAAACTTTTTCTCAAAAGGTACCGCGTATCTCATAATTGATTTCCGAGATACGGCGTATGATAACTCGAACACCCAGCTTGCGTTTACCATTTGCCCGCACGGGCATTCCGACTTGCCACCAGCAGGCCGACGAATTTGCTTTCATTTCTCTGTGAGTTACGCAAGCTGCTCGTTTGTACAATTACTTTGGCCAATGCTCGGGGCCTACGAAGAGTTGCGATGAAGCTCGCGGCTGTGGGGCGGATTGCTGAAGCCGCTGGCGCGGGGATAAACATCACAGAGCACCGGACTTCACTCAGCTTGCGTTACCATTTGCCCATCAATTGTTACACGTGCCGCCCTAGCTACCGGCGTGTACGGATGCAGGGGGCCCCCGCCCTTTTTACGGCTTTGAGGAAGCCGACATCCTACTTGTCATCCTCGATTCGGCTATTAGTACCACAACAGCGGCAAAACTGCTGCTCCCTGGGGACATGGTACTTGCCCCTTCGTGCTCTGTTTGAGCTCCAAAGCCCAGCAACGTAAACGAAACTGCATTACCTTACTCTTACGATGTGCTAAACGAGGAATGAAAACCTTAGCATGTGTTGGCCACATGACGGCTGCGGCTCCTGGAAAGGGCAGCCCCATCCAGTGCTTATACTTTGCCATTTGCACTCCCGGTTGCTTCCCATCTGATGGGTACTCCTCTGGCAAGACAGTCAGACGCGCACGGTCCCAGCCGCTCATCAAACGCTCTCATAGTGCCGTTATCACTGCTCCTTAGGGGAGAGGTCTACTCAACAACCAGTCTTTTCCCCCATGACTTCTTGCAGTATTCCGTTCCAAATATTGCACTCCAAGAAGGACAAGTCGGGTGTCGGCTTCCTCGAAGCCGGAAAAAGGGCGGGGGCCCCCTGAATCCGTACAGGCCGGTAGCTAGGGTAGTGTCAACGTGGTGGGAGCTGTGCTTGTTGCATCAGTGCTGATGCTGTGGGAGCTATGCTTGTCAGAGCAACGTTTTGTGTCAGTGTTTGGTTGCATGGGCGGAATACCGGGGGCGACTTCATGGGCCATGCCCCGCCCAACGGAGAGCTCGATGGATTAAGGCATAGATTGCATATGGTGAACATATTCTTCTCGGCAGACATCTGCATTTTCATTTGTTTTCAATGTAGCTCGTGGTACTGAGTTTAGCGGTGTATCAGAGATTTGTCATTGTTTCCACCCGAACCTATTCATGCATACGAGTGTTGTGGGATAAACTGGACGAACTGCCGATGAAGTGTGGTGGGAAAACAGTGGGACCTCGGCGGCTGACTTGACTGGGTAATGCAGTCGTGGCCCTGAGTGCTTGCCTCCGGTAGTAGTAGTAGTGCCAGAGTACGGTAACCAGGTGTGCAAGTTTTCCCACTCCATGTCGTGGGATCGAAACTAATACGCACATGAGGCACTTGTAAGCGGTCCTCTTGCAAAGTTTTTCTGTAAATTCCTTAAAAGTCATGTGCTTTTGGATGCCAGCCCCAGCCAATCCTGCCAACTTGACAGCCAATTCGATACCCTGTCAGGCTAATTCGATACCCTGTCAGGCCAATTTGACACCCCGAACAGGTCAAATCGATACCCGGACAGGCTAATTCAATACCCTGTTAGGCCAATTCGGCACCCGGACAGGCCAATTCGACACCCGGACAGGGCAATTCAGGCCCAGCACAGCCCAATTCCGAGGCTCCACAGCGCAATTCGAATACCTCCGGCGGGTCCGCCAGAACAATTCCAGACCTCGGCAGAGCAATTCTTTTGTCAGGAATAAAATCCAGGCTAATTCTGCGACAGAGCTCTTCCCTAATTCCAGCCCGAATCCTACCCTCCTGAGCGCGGGAGGCAGGAAGCCGGGGCTCCATGACCTATTGAAGAGACGGTGTCTCTCTGGAACCTAGCAGACACGGCGAAAGAGTCATTGGCCGTTACACGCAGTCTGGAGGTCCGCGACCTGCCACCGACAGCCCCTTGCTTGGGCGTAAGCGTATGAGTCTTGAGGTGCCATTACCGGCACACAGCAGGGGCTCGGCCGCCAAGTCCGCGGTCCAGGCCGAATGCTCAACGCTCAGCAGACACAATCTCAGCTTGCCAGCCCTCAGCCTTTTGGCGTTGCGGTCTGGTGCCGCAGCCATAACACACACGGAAAACAGCGCCGTACAGCACCGTACGCACTGCCTACGGCGCCCCTTCAGGCATTGACCCGCCTGCCCACGCGCCCTTGGCGCCCCCCTCAAAGCCTAGCTCGGCACACTTCCCAAAAGCCCGCAGCACTTTCATGTGCTGTCTTATGTTTATTTCCGAGCGGCTTCAGCAATCCGCCCCACAACCGCCGCGGCACACTGCGATTGGCCAAAGTAATCATACAAACGAACAGCATGTGTATTTCATAGAGAAGTGAAAGCAAATTTGTCGGCCTGCTGGTGGCAAGTCGGAATGCCCTTGCGTGCAAATGGTAACACAAGCTGGGTGTTCGAGTTATCATACGCCGTATCTCAGATTTCAATTATGAGATACGCGGCACCTTTTGAGATTAAATTTAGCCTGAGAGGCGTTGTTGTGACTTTGAGCTCGGTCAATGGAGGCAGCCACAGTTGTTTGTGCTCATACGATTTTTGTTGGCTACAGGCGAGATACCTTGCAATAGAGCATGCAATATATTACCAATAACGTGTTTCAGCCGGACGACATATATGGTTTGGTCCGTTACACCCACACGGCCACACGGCCACACAGACATGGGCAAAATCCTACAGAGCGGGGCACCCCGGGCGCTTCGCGCTGGGGCCCCGCCCCAAAAGCCGCCCCCCTAGTCGAATGACTGCGGTGTTTGACATGTATCAAACGTACTTTTCGTAGCCTACAAACGCATTTTTCCAACACTGGTTGCGAATCGCGAACTAAAACAGAGAATTCTCTTGCAGTAATAACCATTGCACATGTCCTTTTACATACTTATATCAGCCGTGGCCTTCGCACTTTGGAAATGTATGAGCGATATATTGGTCGCCCGTCCTTGCATCATAGCTGCTTGAATACCTGCAATAAACCCCCCTTCCTGATGGCATCATCAAAGCAGGTACATCTGCGACAAATGAGAACCAGCAGGGGAAATGCAGACGTGTCGACGAGTTTACGGTCGGATGTATCCTGACTTGCTGGCTGTGAAGGGCCAGGAGGACACGGCAAAACACATGTCATGCGTGCATTCATCAGCAAAGCTGCAGCCATGGGCAAGCGTGTGATTGTTTGTGCAACCACGGGAAAAGCTGCAAAGTTTCTGGGCATGGGAGCAATGACAGCACATTTCGCGTTTGGCTTTCAGGGCAGCCAATGGGTACCCCTGACCAACCGATACATGCTCATATTTTTGCCCATGGCTGACGTCATTTGTCTAGATGGAATCAGCATGGCCAAGGCCGTATTCCTGCAGCACCTGCACTAACGCTGCCTGGATGCTTGCCCTAACATACCCGCCACGATGCCTTTTGCGGGAAAGATTGTCCTGGTTGGTGGTGACAAGCACCAGCTGGCAGCCGTGTGTGACCATAAGTGTGACGAAGATGCATACATCAGCCATACAGGTGGGCCATGTGGCACATGTTTCAGGAAATTCAACTTGGCCCAAAGCCGGGGCCGGGGCCGGCTTGCTTTCTGTACTCGAATATGAAGCAGGAAGTCTTCCGGCCAATGCGGGACCATGGAGCCCGCCTTACGTTCCTTATTGACGATCATGCGGCAGCGGCGAACGGTAAAGATCGGGCTAAGTTCCTCTGCAGAACGGTGGTGATGATTTTGGTAGCCCTAGGGTTCACGTTGAGCTTTAAGAAATGCCGCTTCATCCCAGTGCAACGCCTGCGCTTCCTTGGCTTAATAGTGGATGCTTCCAGGCAGACCTTTGAGGTTCCCGATGATAAAGTGGAGGCGCTGGAGACCTTTGTAGCGGAGCTTAGAGCCGCTACGCCGCTAACCATGCGCCAGGTGGCCCGCTTGGCGGGTAAGATTATGGCTATGAGTTTAGCGGTGTCCCTAGCTCCCTTGCATAGTAGGATGGTTGGAAGGGCTCTGCAGGGGAAGTGCTCCTGGGAGGAGGCGATAGGTCAACCCCAGCATGTCCTGGACGCAGCGGGAACTTTTCTTGAGATTCTACATACTAGGAATGGGAGGGCGTGGTGGAGGAATGAAGCGGCTGTTCAGTTACAGATTGCGGGTGACGCATCGGAGAAGGCATATGCAGCGTTTTTACCCAACGGCGAGCTCGGAGAGGCAGTCATGCGGGTGCCTTTCTCCCGGGAAGAGACGCAGCTTCTGGCGGAGGGCCGCCTCAGTAGCACGGTGCGCGAGCTACGGGCAGCCACGTTGGCGTTGGAATGGCTGCAAGAGCAGGCACCAGAACTGATCCGTGGTCGGCGAGTGCAGTACCAGACGGATAGTCAGCCCGCCCACTTCTGTACTCTGGGACAGAAAGGTGCAGGCCAATGCCTGGAGGAGGTGGCGCGGTTATATAGGGTGAGTGCTCGGTCTGACACCGAGTTTGAGACGGTGTGGTACCCCCGAACAGCAGCAGCTCAGCAGCAGGCAGATCGTATCAGCAAGGAGGAGGACGTCGCCCAGTGGAGCTTGAATCCGGAGGTGTATCAACAGCTGCTATGCCGCCCCTCATTACAGGGGCGCAACCCGGACATTGATTGCTTTGCGGATGCCACCAACACCAAAGTTCCTGGCCGCTTCTTCGCATCCGGGATGCCTTGGCGTCGACGCTTTCGCTCAATCCTGGGTCTCCACAAGAAAGGACCCACCCTCTCTTCTCTACATGAATCCCCCCTTCTCCCAAGCTGGCCGGGTGCTGGCAAAAGTTCTCTCGGACAAGCCCGACTGCATCATTATATTGCCTGTTTGGCCTAGGTGGTGGGTAGCCCTTTTGTGTCGCTTGCCGGTGCGTGAGGTTTGGCGTTTGCCGCATCGAGAGGACCTGTTCCTGCCGGGGGCCCTGACGGGACGAAGGCAGCCACATGCACCCCACTACCGGGTGTGCGCGTATATTGTCATCTGGTAGAAGAACATTTGCGACGCTCAGCTGTCCCTCAATTCATCCAATACACGTGCGGGACCAACCGTTTGGCTTTCGGCGCTAGACTGGGGGAAAAGGGTGGAGTAGGAGAGTAGGGGAGGCGTGCTGTGCGCCGGTGGCTGGGGGGGGAGAAGGGCTGGAAGGATTGGTGGAGTTTAGAGGGGAGTAGGAGATGCGCGCTGTGCGCGGGTGGCTGGGGAGGAGAAGGGGTGGAAGAATTGGTGGAATATAGAACGGAGTAGGAGATGCACGCTGTGCGCGGGTGGCTGGGGCGGCGAGGCGGGCAGCTCGGGATGGGAAACAGTGGAACGTACTTTACATGCTGCCCTCGTTGCTGGCGTGCGCCCAGCTACTTTGGTTGTGTACGGTGGACGAGCGCTTTGGCTTCAGTTATTGTTTGAGCGGAGTAAGGAGAGGAGCGCGATAGGCGTTGTGCTATTACAGAATTTATTTGTACCGATTAGGCAGCCGGAGAGCGTTGTTGGCAGAAGCTAGCAAAGTGTTGGAGTGGGAAGCAGGCCTAATTTGAGTGCACCGCGTTCCCACCCAGGTCCGTGTTCAATTTTTCCCACCCACCGCGGTGCACTCACTCGTCTGCACTGTCACTATCACTCGCCTCTACCCCGCGCTCCCGAATGTGGCGGGTCGGATCCAAGTACCGCCATAGGGTGCCCAAAGACTTCATTTGGGCTTTAACTAATAATTCACTAGGGGGCACACCCTCGGAGCCCTTAGTTTTCTTTGCTTGATTTTCAGTGATCGTCGGGGCTCCCGCTTCGCCGGGTATGCTGCGGTAGCTTTTGGGTAAGCCTAGTGGTGTTATTAGGCTACCTGTGTTATTTTATCTTGCCGCCATGTACCTGAAGCACCGGGTGTCTCTTGGGCACGGTCGGTTCAAGTTACAGCGTTGGGAAGTTGACGTCAGTCAGAAGGAGGGCCTGTATTCGGAGTGCTGCGAAGTCCTTGTGCTAAAGGACTTGAGGGGTATGAACTTCGAGTGTTGCGGAGTTGACGCAGGTAAGGCCCGATGGGCCTGAGGCGGGAGCCGCGGAGTCGGCTTTAGGTAGGCCGAAGGGCTCGAACTTGGTGTGGCGCGGACTCGACGCTAGGAAGGTAGGAGGCCAAGTTTGCAGTGTCGTGGGGTTGACGGTTGGATGACCGGAAGACCCGGGTTTGGGGTGTCGTGGGACCGACGGTTGGAAGGCCGGGGTCCTAAGTTGGGGTGTCGCGGAGTCGACGTTAGGAAGGCCGGAGGGCATAAAAGGGGTGTCGCGGAGTCGACGCTAGGAAGGCCGGAGGGCCCAAAAGGGGTGTCGCGGAGTCGACGCTAGGAAGGCCGGAGGGCCCAAAAGGGGTGTCGCGGAGTCGACGATAGGAAGGCCGGAGGGCCCAAAAGGGGTGTCGCGGAGTCGACGCTAGGAAGGCCGGAGGGCCCAAAAGGGGTGTCGCGGAGTCGACGTTAGGAAGGCCGGAGGGCCCAAAAGGGGTGTCGCGGAGTCGACGTTAGGAAGGCCGGAGGGCCCAAAAGGGGTGTCGCGGAGTCGACGTTAGGAAGGCCGGAGGGCCCAAAAGGGGTGTCGCGGAGTCGACGATAGGAAGGCCGGAGGGCCCAGAAGGGGTGTCGCGGAGTCGACGATAGGAAGGCCGGAGGGCCCAAAAGGGGTGTCGCGGAGTCGACGCTAGGAAGGCCGGAGGGCCCAAAAGGGGTGTCGCGGAGTCGACGTTAGGAAGGCCGGAGAGGCCCTGAAGGGGTGTCGCGGAGTCGACGCTAGGAAGGCCGGAGGGCCCAAAGGGGTGTCGCGGAGTCGACGTTAGGAAGGCCGGAGGGCCCAAAAGGGGTGTCGCGGAGTCGACGATAGGAAGGCCGGAGGGCCCAAAAGGGGTGTCGCGGAGTCGACGCTAGGAAGGCCGGAGGGCCCAAAAGGGGTGTCGCGGAGTCGACGCTAGGAAGGCCGGAGGGCCCAAAGGGGTGTCGCGGAGTCGACGTTAGGAAGGCCGGGAGGCCTAAAGGGGTGTCGCGGAGTCGACGTTAGGAAGGCCGGAGGGCCCAAAAGGGATGTCGCGGAGTCGACGATAGGAAGGCCGGAGGGCCCAAAAGGGGTGTCACGGAGTCGACGATAGGAAGGCCGGAGGGCCCAAAAGGGTTGTCACGGCGTCGACGATAGGAAGGCCGGAGGGCCCAAAAGGGGTGTCGCGGAGTCGACGCTAGGAAGGCCGGAGGGCCCAAAAGGGTTGTCGCGGAGTCGACGCTAGGAAGGCCGGAGGGCCCAAAAGGGGTGTCGCGGAGTCGACGCTAGGAAGGCCGGAGGGCCCAAAAGGGGTGTCGCGGAGTCGACGCTAGGAAGGCCGGAGGGCCCAAAGGGGTGTCGCGGAGTCGACGTTAGGAAGGCCGGAGGGCCCAAAAGGGGTGTCACGGAGTCGACGATAGGAAGGCCGGAGGGCCCAAAGGGGTGTCGCGGCGTCGACGATAGGAAGGCCGGAGGGCCCAGAAGGGGTGTCGCGGAGTCGACGCTAGGAAGGCCGGAGGGCCCAAAGGGGTGTCGCGGAGTCGTCGTTAGGAGGGCCGGGAGGCCCAAAAGGGGTGTCGCGGAGTCGACGATAGGAAGGCCGGAGGGCCCAAAAGGGATGTCGCGGAGTCGACGATAGGAAGGCCGGAGGGCCCAAAAGGGGTGTCACGGAGTCGACGCTAGGAAGGCCGGAGGGCCTGAAAGGGGTGTCGCGGAGTTGACGCTAGGAAGGCCGGAGGGCCCAAAAGGGGTGTTGCGGAGTCGTCGATAGGAAGGCCGGAGGGCCCAAAAGGGGTGTCGCGGAGTCGACGATAGGAAGGCCGGGAGGCCCAAAAGGGTTGTCGCGGCGTCGACGCTAGGAAGGCCGGAGGGCCCAAAAGGGGTGTCGCGGAGTCGACGCTAGGAAGGCCGGAGGGCCCAAAAGGGGTGTCGCGGAGTCGACGCTAGGAAGGCCGGAGGGCCCAAAAGGGATGTCGCGGAGTCGACGATAGGAAGGCCGGAGGGCCCAAAAGGGGTGTCGCGGAGTCGACGATAGGAAGGCCGGAGGGCCCAAAGGGGTGTCGCGGAGTCGACGATAGGAAGGCCGGAGGGCCCAAAGGGGTGTCGCGGAGTCGACGCTAGGAGGGCCGGGAGCCTGAAGGGGTGTCGCGGAGTCGACGCTAGGAAGGCCGGAGGGCCCAAAAGGGATGTCGCGGAGTCGACGATAGGAAGGCCGGAGGGCCCAAAAGGGGTGTCGCGGAGTCGACGATAGGAAGGCCGGAGGGCCCAAAAGGGGTGTCGCGGAGTCGACGATAGGAAGGCCGGAGGGCCCAAAAGGGGTGTCGCGGAGTCGACGATAGGAAGGCCGGAGGGCCCAAAGGGGTGTCGCGGAGTCGACGATAGGAACGCCGGAGGGCCCAAAAGGGGTGTTGCGGAGTCGACGTTAGGAAGGCCGGAGGGCCCAAAAGGGGTGTCGCGGAGTTGACAATAGGAAGGCCGGAGGGCCCAAAAGGGTTGTCACGGCGTCGACGATAGGAAGGCCGGAGGGCCCAAAAGGGGTGTCACGGAGTCGACGATAGGAAGGCCGGAGGGCCCAAAAGGGGTGTCGCGGAGTCGACGCTAGGAAGGCCGGAGGGCCCAAAAGGGATGTCGCGGAGTCGACGATAGGAAGGCCGGAGGGCCCAAAGGGGTGTCGCGGAGTCGACGCTAGGAAGGCCGGAGGGCCCAAAGGGGTGTCGCGGAGTCGACGTTAGAAAGGCCGGAGGGCCCAAAGGGGTGTCGCGGAGTCGACGCTAGGAGGGCCGGAGGGCCCGAAAGGGGTGTCGCGGAGTCGACGTTAGAAAGGCCGGAGGGCCCAAAAGGGTGTCGCGGAGTCGACGCTAGGAGGGCCGGAGGGCCCGAAAGGGGTGTCGCGGAGTCGACACTAGGAAGGCCGGAGGGCCCAAAGGGGTGTCACGGAGTCGACGATAGGAAGGCCGGAGGGCCCAAAGGGGTGTCGCGGAGTCGACGTTAGGAAGGCCGGAGGGCCCAAAGGGGTGTCGCGGAGTCGACGCTAGGAGGGCCGGAGGGCCCAAAGGGGTGTCGCGGAGTTGACGTTAGGAAGGCCGGAGGGCCCAAAGGGGTGTCGTGGAGGCCATTGCCAGGTGTGGTATTGGAGTTCAAGGACCGATCGGTGAGTGGCTGGAAGCGTATGCAATTAGATGTCCAGCCTGACGTGTACCCGTCAGACGGCAAGCAACCAGGATTTCACATGGAGAAGTATAAGCATTGGATGGGTCTGGCGGCCGAGCAAGCGGCAGGAAGAAGGTGCTCCCGCATATCACAACGTTTATCCCGCGTTCAGCTAAACGCAAGCTTATGCAGTTTAGGCTTTGCTGTTGGGCATTGGCGGCTAACAGAGCGCGCAAGGGACAGCGTTATACAGCTAGGGAGGAACGTGTATGCCCCTGCCAGAGGGTTGCAGAGATGGGGGATTGGGGGCAGGTACTGGTCAGGCGGGATGGGGAATAGGGTTGACGATGTCAGGATGGGATGTGGGGCCCAAGGCGAGGATTAGGGATTAGGCGTGCTACACTATTATTTATAGGATGGGGATTGCTGTCGGGGTGAGGATGGGGACGGGATCCTTGTCTGAGGGATGGGGATTGCAACCTTGACCAAGGAGGGGATTGGGAGCAGTGATTTTTTTTCATTTAGGGGGGGTCTCAATTTATTCCGACCTAAGTAACAAAGTTGCTAGCGTCGCCGTAATGTATTCCTTAAGAGTGGGGCGCTGGGGGGGGCTACGTCCCCCCCAGACCCCCCCCAGACCCCCCCCCTANAACGTACAACTCCCCTCATAGACCAAGAGGCATGCACTGCGTTGCCGGGTTTTCGTTCATGTGCGCACTCTTCATGCACATGCATAGATAGTTCTGGCACTGTTTGTGAACATAAAGTAAATCCACGTAAATGCGCTGTGTCTGAGCCCGCTTGGCACTGCGAGCGCTCGGGTTGGGCGCCTCGCCGCATTCGTTGTTGTCGAGCTGATTGGGTGACAGCTTGCGCTTATGCTGATCACAACCGCCATGGAAGGCAGGGGTAATGGCGCCCGTGTCATCGGTCGCCGCTGGCAGCAACACCATTGCCGATACATTACCGACAACAGCACCGCCGTCCCAAACGCCTTTATCAGGAATAATTTCCGGCTTATCTTGCTGTTTTGGTGTTTGTTCGGCGTTCAAGTCGTTGCCTTTTGCGAGTTTGGCTATGTAAGGACCGGTCATACATTCTGCTATGCCGCGTTGACTCACGGGCTTGACCTTCTTACGGCCCCTCATATCTATTCTATGATCGATAATACTAAGTTCTGCACACTACGGAGCAATCTGGCAGCAATGGACGTTTTGGCTGGAGGAATGAAAATGTACGGATCGGCCTCAACTTGTTCCTTATTTCCAAAGGCCAAAATGGCCTCTTTACTCCTTAAAAGGAATTATTACTTAAAAAAACACTGATTGGGAGCCCTGGCCACGGATGGGGATGGGAACCTGGTCGACAGGACGGGGATTGCAGGCTTTCGCAAGTTTAGGATGAGCTCGCTGCCATAGGATTGGGAACACAGTTGGAGGATTAGAATTGGGTGTTCTGCTGTAAAATGAGTCTGCAGGTGCAGAACTGGGAATACTGACAGGACTGCAAAACAGGCCAAGGATGAATGGTTTAGTTGTCCATAGTTGCTTACATGGAAACTCAAACAAACACAAGGAAGTCCTGCTTGCAAGTCGGGTCTCATAGCAAACCAAACTCAAACACAAGGAAGTTCTGCTTGCAAGTCGCGTCCCATAGCAAACAAAACTCAAACACAAGGAAGTTCTGCTTATAAGTCGCGTCCCATAGCAAACCAAACTCAAACACAAGGAAGTTCTGCTTATAAGTCGCGTCCCATAGCAAACCAAACTCAAACACACGGCCTTGGCCATCTCTTCGTTAGTCCTGCGCTTTTTCTCCAGCCGTGGTGACGCATCCTCGCCCAACTCGTCAGCGGGCTGTGCAGTCGGGGCACATGCTGCTTTTGCAAGCTTGAGGGCTTGGAGAGCTTTAAGGTTCGGGGCGAGGGCCCTCAGCGACTTGATTGCCACCTCGGAATCCGCATCCGCCAGCTGTGCGTTGACTTCGACCTCTGTGCCAGCAAGGAAGACAGAAAGCAGGCGGTGACAAAACAGCAAGTTTGCACCTTTCGTTCAAAACAAAACCGAATGGAGTCGGCGTCACAGGCAGCGGCTAACAAAGTCGGTTACATGCCAGGGTCCCAAACTTCCATTGGTATGGGCGTAGGCATCGACCTAAAACAAGACCCATTGCAAAGAGCGCAAGCGTCGGATAAAGTATACCCTGTAGTGGTTGGTCAGTCCTGGTCAGTCCTGTTCAGCAAGCGGTGAAACCAAATTAGGCTGAAGTGGTTCTTACCGCCAGCCACGGTCTTAAACCCTAAGTCCACCAAGCCTTCTTCAGACAATGTTTTGGCGATGGCGGCATCGGCCGACTGCCCGATGGGGTCCATCCCAAGCGTTTCCACGATGACTTCGGCCATGTCCCTGGCGAAGCCCAACCCCGTCAATTTTGCCAGCTTTCGACGCTTCTGCAGGAGGTTAACACCATTGGGAATAGAACTGGCATGGAACGCGACTTGGTGTAAATGTGAGAAAAGTGCACCATTGGTGCACCCTGCCAGTTCTTCAGTCAGACGCAGTCCAACCCCGTTCTTACCTTGTCCGGCCCATGCACATCCACATCCAGGGCACCATCGGGTGCCATTCTGGAAGAGATAACAAACGGTCGTCGGGCTGTTACTAGCTTGCGCTTAACAATGTGGGCGTCTTCCAAGACGAAGTTTGGGACACTTTGAATAAGACCCGAACGTAATCTGTATGCAATCTGCAGACCCTACTGGGGGACAAGTCCGCAGGAGGCGTATCAACATGCAAGACGTTATCAACAGCAAGCCGGTTTTGGGGTCCAAGTACAGCCTGTCACGCTGACTAGTTGGACAAGGCTGTATGCTCTTCTTCGTGAAGGCAGAATGACTTCACCAGGAGAGCAGCAAGAATGAAGTCGCCACTGCGACCCAGTTCTACGACAGCACCACAGAACCAGCCTTAGAAGCTCCGGTCGCTTCGCTCCGACGCATCTAAGCCAACAAGACGTTATCAACAGCAAGCCGCTTTGGGGGTCCTGGCTCAAAGTGAGGCCCACCTGGAGTTAGTTGTTCAGCTTTCATGTACTTCCTCAAACAAACTGCTTCTCTAGTACTGTGATGTTTTATTAAGCAGCCCCTTCGCACAAATGTGTCCGGTCGTACTCTGCCGAATAAACCCTCCGTACTTCGTCTCAAAAGCCAGGAGCGAATTTTACCGCGCAGATGCGCGCGTGCGATTCTCAAAATGCACCTGTACAAGTGTATATAAATTTTCTTGGCGGAAAAGGACCAGGTGCGCCAGCGCGTTGCGCAGGTGGGCACGATGGCCATAGTCGCACGCGGCATGCAGCCTAGTCTATTGCGTGGCTGCCTTGCAGTAACTGAAAGCATCGAAAGCCTACGTCGTAGCTTGCAACACTGGGCTCGTGAAACTGCCGCGGGAAGAGGAAGCGTCTGGCGAAGAGGCAGTTGTGTGCAAGCCAAAAGGCGCCTGCTTTCTGCAGCGCAGCGCATACAGCACCTTGTTCCGACTAAAGTCAAATTACAAAGTTGCGCAAAGTATAACATACATAAACTTAATTAAACATAAGAACAGATAAGACGTTTAGGGCCTTGTCGGTGACATGGACGCCGCTGTTGGCTTGGAACAGCTATTTGCTGTGCATAGGGACGTGCCCGCGTTAGCCGTGTTCAACAGCTCAGATTGGATTTCAGCCAACAAAGCCTCAAGAGCTGCTGCACAACCACCGGGAATGTCTTCAGTTGGGCACGTGTAGTTTTGGTCGGCGGGGTCGAGCATCGTATGCATTGCGCACAGAAACCAAGGTGCAGCGTCTCTGTAACATCGCCAACATATCCGGTACGCGGTGGCAGGCTTGCCGAGCACGACTTGAAGGGGGGTCGCATCTAATCACCATTCAACTAAGCATGCATGTGCTCGGTTGAATGCTCGGTAGCGTGCGAGTTTACCTATCAGGATGTTTGTTTGCATATATCCCTCCAAGCGAGAGGGCTTGGACCTATGCTGACGTTCGTTACAAGAAGTGAACTGAGGACTGATGCTACACGTCATGTATACGCGTTGCTTAGCTTGCAACGAGACGCGCCCACGATGAAAGCTCCAGGACCCCATCTCCCCTCCCCCCCTCCCCCCAAAGCTTCAGCTACGCTCACAATACATTATACTGCTACACTATTCTCTCCAGTCCTACCACATTATATTTCACCGACGTACTTCGGCACCTTCCACAACAATACATGCTTCGTGAACGCGGTCAGCTGCTTCACCAGGGCCCCCATATTTGGTTATATTCATGCAAACTGAGCTCAAGTTGCAAGGCGCGAACATGCTGGCCGCATCATGCTGCACCGCATTCCCAAGCCAGTATGCACAACTCTGAGAAAATTTGCAGTCTTCATTGTTTTGTTGTGGCACAACTCCACGTATCTCTGGCACATTAGTGCATAGGAGCAATTCTTGCGCAGATGTCCAAGTCGACTCAAAAGCATTCCAATTGGACTGTCTGGCTTGATGTAATGTTATCAGGTTGTTTGTCGTAGCGCTTTGGCGCACCCAACGTGGAATGTTGGCGCCGGACTGTGCAGCTGAACTCCTGCGCTATGGGTGAACCAATGGTGCACCCGTTCCTTCGCCATCATCAGCACGTTCCCAGCCATGGACATTTTGACAGAACACCCTTGTATGTTCTACCATTCTAACCACAGCATTATAATTTGTTGTTGTGGCCGTCTATCGAACATAACAATCCTTCCTCCCTTAGGACGCGCTATTTGCACTAGCAGCCAGTGTGCAATTAGATACCGTAATGATACGAATGTTTCGCGCCACACCTTTCGTTTTGGGCCACGAAGTGTGTCACAGTGGAAAAAGCTCTATGGGGGAAATTATTTACTTGTCGCGAAAATGTGTGGCACGAATGTGTTGTACGCCGTGTACATGGTGTAGAATCGGGGCGTTTGGTAAACCGCACCTGACTTTGGTGCCGCACCAACGGGCCTGTCTTCTGTTCTTCTGCGTAAACATATAGTAAACGATATGTCCAGCAGTTTGGGAGCTTTGACGCTGTCGCTCCTTGTTGTGGCTTCCCTGGAGCCCCGCGAAATGTGTGTTCATGTAAACAAATGTGTGCCATAAAAACTGACAGCCCTCGCGAATTGGTGTAACAAAACGAAAAATTCCAGCTATAATTTTGGGGTACCCGCGAAAGGTGTGGCGCGAAACATTCGTATCATTACGGTACGTAGACCTCTGTGATGCGAGTTCCTCCTCAGTCGAGATCCGCTTCAACGAGCGTTTGTCGCTTCAGTCTGCTTCGGAACGAACACAGCCGGGCGGAATTTGACGCTAGAGGAAATAAGCCATAGAGCAAGAGAAAAATACCTCGCGGAAATAGAAAATAACCCTGGTCAATTCCCCTGATTTACGCCTAAAGAGAAAGCCGATATTACAGCACCTGTGTAAACGTAAGGAGTAGGTTTGTAGCTGGCAAGGGATGGGGATGGGACCCTGGCTGACAGCTTTCGGTTGTGGACACAGCTGCAGGATGGGGATGGCCCTGATCGAAGGGATTGGGAAGGGACCCTGGCTGGCAGGTTGAGGATTGGGGGAACACAGCTGCAGGATGGGATTGGAAACCCTGGCCATAGGATTGGGGATGGGACCCAGGCTGGCAGGATGGGAAACCTGTCTCAAGCACCGGGCCCCTAAGATGGGAGATGGGAGTCGGTCACCCCAGCCAGGATGGGGGGATGGCTGACCACTACCACCCCCCGGGATTGGGGGATTAGACCGTTTTTGCAACCCTCTGCCCCTGCTGCGGCACTGATAGCCGTATCGAGGATGAGAAGCACATTTTGCTGGACTGTCCGGTGTACGACAAAATCAGATCTGATATGGATTTTCCACGCGTCGAAGGACGCTATGAAGTGGGAACCTGAACGTCTGGCAAGGATGCTAGAACATATGTGGTCCCACCGCAACTCTATCGCTCCCTTTGGTCGTTAGTATCCATCATCATCTGCTTTGTCTGATGCGCGAGGTAGGACGGTGCTTATAGACGATCTGGCAGCCCTCGGCTCGTAATGGGCGGTTTGCATGTACGGCGAACGCACCCCACGACCATGTATTACACACAAAGATACGCACGAAGGCACACGCACATACATATACAAACGCTTACTATATGTGTACGTTCAATCACATGCATATGAGCGGCGCAGATCAACTTGGTAGAGCTCCGGGGCTAGAGTGTAGCAGATCTAAAATTCGAATCCTAGATCCGGCATTCAGGCTTATTCGGAAGATGAGGGGTCTGGATTGAACCGCTTTGTGGTGTCGAAGGATAGCGGCGTTGGGGTCCTCCTGAGCACTGGGCGGGTGGAGTAGGTGGCCCAAAAGAAAACCTGATGCAGTGCAGTGCGGAGGAACAATCCTGCAAAGGGCCTGGTCCAGACCCTATAAAAGATGGTGGTTGGATAACGTACGGCGGCAGCAGAATTCTGAAGAATAGGGTGGCCATTGGAATTCGATGTGAGTGCATTAATAATCGCAAAAGAAGGGAGTTGCTTGGCACCTGAGCTGGGAGAAAGTTGCTGGCGAGAGAATTCGAACAGTTAACGGCTCCTTAGGATTGAAGGCACTGCCCGATAGAACATCCCTACAATAACAGAGGCGGTCTCACCCACGGCGCAAGTAGAGTCCCCCCGTGCAGATGCGGTGCTTTGCAACCCAAGTCCGAGCAATTCTGTTGTATGGCTGCCAGGCGTGGGGCCCTTTTGCGCTGGCAGAGGTCGTGGACAGGGCGGAAAGGCTGCAGGATAACGCAAATCTTGCGGAGGGCGTGTTTGAAGCCTGTTTGAAGGATAGCGCAGTCCAGCTGCAGATTTTCTTCATGAGGCAGGTAGTGGGGGCGGCACGACAATCCCACAGGCTGTTGAATGCGGAGCTGGCTGAACTCCCCTTACAGTATTACATGGTGAAACAGATCCTCCGTTCCTTGAACAGCCTTCAAAATAAGTGGGGTCCATTATTCGTGCAGTTTTACGGCAGGAGATAACCGATGCTCTGACCAACCCGGAATGGGAGGGTTGGGGAATCTCAATGTTACGACTGTTTTCCTTCTTGGAGTGCAACATTTGGAGCGGAATACCGCAAGATGACAGGGGGGTAAAGGAGCGTGTTGACTGGTGGTTGAGAAGACCTCTACCCGAAGGATCGGTGATAACGGCACTAAGAGAGCCGGGTGGGACCATGCGCGTCTGACTGTCTTGCCAGAGGAGTACCCATCAGATGGGAAGCAACCAGGGCTGCCCTTTTCGGGAGCCGTAGCCTTCATGTTAAGGTTTTCATTCCTCGTTAAGCACATTGTAAGCTCATGCAGTTTCGGTTATGTTGATGGGCTTTGGAGGCAAATAGCGCACGAAGGGGCAAATACCATGTCCCCAGGGAGCAGCGGTTTTGCCGCTGTTGTGGTACTAATAGCCGAATAGAGGATGAAAAACACGTGTTATCATATTCGTGCTGAAGAGGGATTCGATCATCAACAGAGCATGTTGGAGGCCATGAATTGGGAACCAGTACGTCTGGCGAAGATGATGGAACGCATGTGGGCTCACAGAAACTCAGTTATCCGCCTTGGGCGCTAGTCTGGGCTGATGTGTTTCCTGTATTCCGTGGCTTTTCGGCGTATAGATGTGTGAAACAGGGGGTTATATCTTCGCCCGTGACAGCTACCCTGCGAAACCCTGCCTTCCCCGGTATTCCAGGGCACCCTCATCCAGTCACCCGAGTCATCTTCTCAGTGGATCGCTCAGATTCCGCACCCACCACCAGCATCCAACGGAATCTGCCGGGTCGACAGCGGCCCAACTCGATTCCTGATCGGCTCGCAGGTCATCATATTCCCAAGTCACCACCGTCCATCGACGGGCGCAATACCTTCCAACGTCGGAAGGATTTCTGACCCTGACAGGTATCGATCCCAGGATCTCCCGGGGGCAATAGTCGCGCATTGCATACATAAAGCCTTAGGATCGGCTTAAATGGATAGTTCTATGGGTCGGGTCACGCGCGCCTAACTAGGTAACACACACACATATACATATACGCTCATACAGACACATACACATTACAATCGCTAGTAACTGTGATCCTCTTCACAATTACATTAAACAATTAGCGGTGTATCGCCAGCTTCCGGAGAAAAAATGCTTCGCTTAAGGAGATTGTCTTGGGTGGCCTACCTCAATAAGATGGTATCACTCGCCTGTTAACTGGGCACATAGAAAATTGTACGTTCATTCCCTTCTGGGATTTCCCAGCATCTTTCCTACACGCTTTCATGAGCCGAACGATCACATCAAAATGTGCCGGCTGTGGATAAGCGCAGAAACCTCCATCATCATCACTACGTGACATTTTGGTTGCCAGCATTGGCTTAACCTGTGTGGAGTTTGCTTTGCTTGTGTTATTCACCGCTGGCGCGGTGCACAATTCGTTGGTCTCAGGAAACTGGTGGCACAATCCCGACTCCTGGACTTGGTACCAGATGTCTAACTACAGATACCTGCGAAGCAACACTTACATTTACTGACACGTACAGGCCTGCTTCACTGCTGTGCATAAATTGCGATAGCTCACGTATAATGTTCACGTGTTCACTTGCGAGGTGCAAGTCGTGTAAACTTACTTTTTTCCGCAACAATAATTCAAAAACGAACTGTTTGACAATTCTACACCTCTCAGTACTCTCATAATTCTTCAACTTGTATTTATACTTGCGACAGCACCGTTTCCTCAGAGACTATTATGCCCAAGGCCACTTCGCCTCGAATATTTTTGGATTTTACCTAAATTTGCTTAACACTTACAATTTGAATTAAACTCATTCTTCGTGGCCAAGTAAACTAGACCCTATAAACAATACAGAGATTGTAAGATAATAACTGTGACTTTGGCCAGCAGCTTTACGGCTTACTCAACATTGTCAGTTCAGAGGCATGCATATTTCGTTTATATATTTTCGTTTATTCTCCCTTGCTTTATCTGCGATTGCTCAGCACCTGTAAGATTGCTAAGAAGAACCACCAATCTGCAATGCCAGGCTCATTCTATCTCTGGTAAACAGTCCCCAGTCCTTCAGATGTCACTCGCCCAGTCGTTTCTAACATGATATTGTCAAGACAGGATGATTTTAAACTATCACATTCACTGCGTGCTGCAACCGTTGAGAGCAATGCAATTGAATAGAATTCAGGTAGCATTCTCTGTAATGCCGCTTTGTATCCGATGACCGAAGTTGGATGCTACAAAATCCTGGAACTTCGTACCAGGCGCAGATAACTGGAACAGTGGAAGCCCAGAGCCCGCAATTCAAGGAACGAAGGAATTTTTATAGAATTTTTCCGTCAGCGCCAATGGTGCAACAATATGGCAAAGTGAAGCTGTCACAGTCACACGGACAAGCCCACAAACAATGTATGTGGTTTTAACCGTACGCTACAGGGTTCCAAGGAAAAGTGTACGGGTTGCCTGCAAAAGATGTAATACATCCAGCATGGAAGCGAAATGCCAAATCTATGCCTTCCTTGCCTAACTAAGCTTTGTCGAGAGTCAGAACATACCCCGCACGTCAACTTACTTCCGATTTCCATGCACAGTAGAAGCTGACGTAGCCCCTGTCCCTTCAAGGCCATTCTGGTGGACAGCAAAGCTTCCCGATGGGCATAACTTGGCCTCAAGGGTTTAACTCTTGAAGGGCAGGGGTTACCAATAGATCGCTGGTACCATATAAGTTTGGCATATGCACAGGTTGATTACAGGCCATACATGCCGCGATACCGTTTTAAGGAAAGGCAAGCAACGGCATCAGTGAACTTGCTGAATTGTTGCAGGTCAGCTTGGATAGCATTCAGGGTCGTGACGGTGAAAGATGCCTTTACACACATCCTTCAGTTGGAGTTGCGCACTCCGTAGTGCGATATATTGCAAGCTAAGCAGAAGACTCGAAAGGCATGTGCGGGTATAGTCAATGAAATCCAGTCAGACGGCCCAAGTCCAGTGCATGAGTTTGCCCCTTCAGGTGTCAACTTGGTCGACCCATATCGCACGTGATCTCACAGGACATACAAACCTACCAAGTAAATTGGATTGAAAAAAACGTGTAAACATTATCAGGTAATATCAAAAGCAAGGAGTTCAAGGCACATCGGCAGGCTTCTCCCATTGGCTCACACCCGTGAGGGAGTTGTAGTAATAGTTGCGACCCTGGTCATCTTGCAAGATCTGCCACAGACTGCTATTTCCAGCTGCTCCTGGAGTCGTTGGACCAGCATTCTGCTGGGAGACACTGGCGGTGTAATGTGACTGGCTATAATTGCCAACCGATGCATAAGGATCAGATGCCGCACCTACGCTACTGTAGCTGGCATATGTCGGCATCGTATTCGGATATGGAGAATATCCCCCATATGGCTGATATCCACTGTGTGCTGGATAAACTGCTTGAGGCATGGCGAAACCCCCATATGCCCCATACGGGGTGTAATTTGGTTGTGTGTATGACGTAGTGAAGGACGGACCAGGACGGATACCTCCTTTGAGAACAGAAAAAGGCCAACGGGATTCCAAAGTTAAACAGTTTAAATGTTTGCAATCGATAGTCGCCAAGAGAGCACCTCACCTCCAGACGGCTGTGATGGAGTCCGAATCAATTCTTCTATCGATCTCCTTGCTGACGAGATCAGCGGACTGGGGCCGGTGATGGTAACCTTGCAAGGCGTGGAGCCTTGGTCTATTTGGATACTGACGTTAAACCGCTTCTGAAGGTCCTTAATGGTTTCTCCACCCTTGCCGATAATTCGGCCCACCATCGCCTTGGGGCATTCCACCACTTCGGTTGAACCAACACCAAACTGCATGAACAGCTCAGCAATTGAATACGCATTCACTCAGCACTAGGCATGTGCCATATGCCATGCCAACGCCCAACTCACCCGCTGAATAATTGCCTGGGTGTTAGTGTGATTTGATCCATTGATAAGCTCAGAAACCATACTGGTAGCACGCTGAACTGCATCCTGAGCACCGGTTATGATAATCTGACGTGGGACTCCTTCGGGGAAATCTTGATTTACTAAGATGTGGGCGCCACTGGCCTGCTGCAGCGTACGGATAGTTTCGCCACCACGCCCAATGATGCGACCAACAATCCCAGGTGGACACTCCACAGTCCCCTGAACCTCGTTGGTGCTTGGTGACGTTGTCTCAGTTGCACCGGAAATCAGATCGTGCACAGCACGCTTAGCACGATCTACGTCATCTCGCCTACCAGATACAACGACTGGCTTATCGCCTGGAGCCTTATGGTCCACCTGAATACGCGTGCTGGTGCTCGCCTCAAGGTCCCGAATGGTTGCCCCGGCGCGCCCAATAATGCGTCCCACTTTGTCGGGTGGGCACATTATAGTCTCAGTGGCATTCCCGTCCATAGCAAGCAGAGGCGCTGATATCGCGAAAGTTGGATCAGCTGCTAGCTTCTGCCAGGTGCGCATGAGGGCCGCGTGACAAAGTGCAAAGAAAGCCTATCGCAGCAAGTTAACTCACCAAGCCGACGACGTCTCCAGCGGGACGCTTGAGATCAGGAGCCTCCAATACCGAACAATCATCACGCTTCCTTTTGCTGCTCTCCACCAGCACACCTGCAGCCTGCTCTGCTTGCGCTGCAAAAAAATTTGCCAGCTTCAACGCCCGAATCCTCCCAGCGTCGATGATAGCATCGGCAGCAGACGACTCTGCCGCTGCCTGAGGTATATCGTTTCCCATCGAATACTCCCTTTTGCTGTCATCATGACCATGCTCTTGATTCCGGTCATCATGCTCAGCCTCCAGCTGTGATAAAGCTTGTCCCTCAGCCATGGTGAGAGTAACAGAGCTATGCTACAAGAACTAAGTAGGATTGATTCTAGTAGGAATTTTAAGTACTGACGGTCCTCCAGGAGGTTATGTTCCAGAGCGAATTGTGTCATCCGCTATCACTCGTAAGGCCCAGACTTCCGAAGCGCGGAGCCGCTGATGCTAGGCTTCGCGTGCACCATGCATAGTGGGAATGCGTAGCCGTAACAATTCCGTGCCATATTTGTGAGGTGCGTGCAGGCTGAGATAGACACAGCATTTCCCACTGAAAAGACAGTTCGTTGTTTGGAGGATCGGCTAGTGTTCGGTTGGAAATGCATCGCTGAGATCCATATGCCTAGAAAGGTTAGCGGTATGAACTTGGGACGATGACGGATTGTAAAAGTGGCGTAATTGCGACGTACGTTGTCCAAATATGGTGCTATTTTGTTGGACTTTTGTAGCCCTGACGTGATAAGCACCCGGAGGGATCAGTGGCCATTGACCTTTGCCGTCAACCCCTAGCTGAGTGTTGTTAGGAGGCGATTTTATAATGGGGACCAACAACCGTGATTAAGAAGTGGTTTTACAAGGGGGACTAACAACCAAATCGGTAACTAGCCGTACAGATGTAGTGGTCTACTTCCTACCCCAGGGCCACATAGTACCTTACGTCCCGTAACGGGGCCACCCAAACCATCATCAACCCAAAGAACCGCCAAAAACAGTTCAAAAAGTGAAAAGGCTAATAACTAGCAATAACACAGAGGAAAGGCCAGTTGCGACCCACAGGCAGTTACCTGGAGGTCCCCAATGTCCACAAATGTCGGGTAGTCTGCGGTCCGGGCGTTACTGTCATACGCACGATACATGTATTGAGGAATGCATGGTGATGACCGTTTCTGGGGTTCACCCCAGGCTTGGTACAGTCATTGACGAAGAAAACGAAGTATGTCCCAACCTCTTCACAGAGACGGAGATGCAGGTGGGGAGTCTGTGTCAGGGGCCCCTTGAACAGCACATGGCCTGGACTACATGCAAGGAACGGGTGGTCGAAAGGGACTGAGCTCAAGTGCAGCAGAGGGATGCCTCGAGAGATAAGCGAAGCAAGTCGTGCCCAGTCTGATCCGATTTCCTCCAGTTGCTCTCGCGAGACAATACACGTTCCGGGACATAGAGCGTCCCGAGGTATGGGGTCTCCGTATGTGTCCACGATGTAGGTTGTGTGACGTGCGGCCAAAGCCTGGAGCTCGGCCGTGAGCCGCAGGGTGGTGGCGAATTTTACCATGACCTTCAGCAGAGGCACCGGCTGCGTGCTCATGGGCCGCAAGGCCAGGCCACAGACTAAAGCGGCCCACACCTCCTGTGAGGATGGCACAGCGGTTGATCAGGCCAGGACGGATCGGGCGGCGGTTGGCCGTTGTTAGAAAGCGATATTGCAAGGGGGATAGACAAACCCTAAGCCTGTCAGTAAGAACGGGGTCCTCGTACGGCAGCATGTATAAGCACTTGACGCCTAGGACGCACCAGGAATGACATTAAAACGATTGTTGTAAAGTTGTTATTTGCATTCTGTTGGATCTGTTTCCAACGGTCACGTGCTTCTGGAATTGCGTATATAAGCATTTGACGCCTAGGATGCACGGGATTTTACATTATAACAATCATTGTGAAGCTGCAGTTGTGCTTCTAATGCTGGAAATATTTGGAATGCCGGGCAAAGGGCCTTTCTAGAATCCACGAGGATGCACAGCCAAGGATACAGTTACAGTTACAGTGTCCCCACAGGTTCGGGGGGCCGTTCATAAAAGTTAATGTTATATGAAGTCCAATGGCCACCGGGCTTTGATGGACAACCCCGCACTCGTGCGGACCTTGTAGCTGGTACTTGGTACGGTGTCAAAGGCGACCATCGTCATCCTCCCGTCCCCGTTTGAGCGTGAAGCGTTGGAGCGCTGCGTGCCAGACCTCGGAGAGAAATCTGCGCGGCAGCCTCAGTCATGATGGTGCGCATGCTGTGCCCTTGAAACCCTAGTTCACTCCCATATTTAGCCCTTAAGCCATCATAAGCGGGGCATTCCCCAAACACATGTAATTCATCTTCCACCGCTCTGCAGTCGCAAAGCCTGCAGGTACGTGCGGCACGCTCATGGTCGCTTGGCCTATTAACCTTTAGCTCTCAACATCCCAACCTAAAGCGGATGAGGAACTGGTGCAATCGCTGGGGGAGGGTGGTCCGCGCGAGTGAGCCACCCGGGGCGCGGCCCCTCACAGGGTGGTGCCCCCATCCAATGGTAACGACACGCCTTGACCCCGGTGGCCCTGGTGGGGAACCCCTTGGCTTCACCCAAGGTGTTCGTGTTCTCACACATCCAACATGCATCAAGCCTCTTCACAAAATCCCTCAGGATGCATCCCACCGGCAACTTGAGGGTAGCATAATGCGCCACCAGATCATCCACATGCAAACCAGCCTGAGGGCCTAACAGGCTGGTAAGAAAGGTCCTGACCTTGCTCGCCTATGATTCGGTGTCACCGCCAAGTGCCAGGCCCAGGATAGCGACGAAAGCTCGACAAACGAGAAATTACATTAAAACAATCATTGTGAAGCTGTAATTGTGTCTGTGGGCTCCGAACTTGTTCCTTATAAATAACACTGAACATTGCGGGCCCCCCCTTCCCTTCGACGACCGTGAGCCTGTTCCGTGCTGCTGCTTTCAACCACGACAGCCGACAAGGTAAAGCACCGACTGCACATTGCATATGTGGAAACGTATAATGGCGCTGTAGCAACAATACGCATTGACATAGGAGGGTTGTGTAGGACAATATCACAGCTTTTGGGCGGGGGCCCAGCGTGAAGCGCCCAGGGGGCCCCCGCCCTGTAGGATTGCCCATGTCCGTGAGGAGGGTAGGATCCGGGCTGGAATTGGGGAAGAGCTCTGTCGCAGAATTAGCCTGGATTTTATTCCTGACAAAAGAATTGGACCGTCGGGGTCTTGAATTGTTCTGGCAGGCTCGCCGGAGATATTCGAATTGCGCTGTGGAGCCTTGGAATTGGGCTGTGCTGGGCCTGAATTGGCCTGTCCGGGTGCCGAATTGGCCTAACAGGGTGACGAATTAGCCTGGCAGGGTATCAAATTGACCTGTTCAAGGTGTCAAATTGGCGTTGCAGGGTATCGAATTAGCGTGTTCAGGGTGTCGAATTGGCTGTCGAGTTGGCAGGACTGGCTCAGGACGGCATCCGGAAGCACATGACTTTTAAGGAATTGACAGAAAACTTTGTAAGGGGACCGCTTACAAGTGCCTCATGTGCGTATTGGTTTCGATCCCAGGACATGGAGCAGGAAAACTTGCACACCTGTTTACCGTACTCTGGCAATGTAGGGAGGCAAGCACTCAGGGCCACAAGTGCAATACCCAGTCAAGTCAGTCGCCGAGGCCCCACTGTTTTCCTACCACACTTCATCGGCAGTTTGTCCAGTTTATCCCACAATACTCATATGCATGAATAGGTTCGGGTGGAAACAATTGTAAATCTCCGATACACTGCTAAACTCAGTACCACGAGCTACAATGAAAACAAATGAAAATGCAGATGTCTGTCGAGAAGAATGTGTGTTCCATATGCGTTCTGTGCCTTAATCCATCGAGCTCTCCGTTGGGCGGGGCATGGCCCATGAAGTTGCCCCTGGTATTCTGCCCCAGATTGTCCACGCACAAACGCCAAACGTTGGCGCAGAAAACAGACAGGCCACTGCAGTATGGCATCAAACCACGCATAACCACAGCAGCAAACCATCGGACTCCATATCGTAACACACAGTCACCAGTGTTTTTTTTTCGTTTTGGGCCTAATACCCTAGAGTAATAAACTGGGTGTTTCTTGCGGTTACAATTCCTTTTTGTATAGTCGCTGGGGGGGTGGGCCCCCCCCAGACCCCCCCCCTCAAAGGCTGTACGGTGTGCTTTAAACAACACCTGACGTCTGGAAACAAACATGCCGTACCACCATCGTTCTGTGCACCTAACTGCATTTGTGCCAGTGTCTCTGTGAGCAGTGTCTGCGGAGTTTCTGAGCCGTTTGCTTTGGTCAAGAATGAACGAATGCCCCGTTGACCTAAGTTGAATGCAACAGCGGGCCGTCTCATGGTGATATCATCAAATATCTTATATATAAATAGTGTATAAGCTCCAAATGGTCAGCTTTATATGTGCAGAAGGCATTTGGGGCGACTTATGGCCGAAGTAATGAACCAGTACGGCCAACTGACCAATTATTCCATTTCTTCCAGGCTCAGACCCCCATTTATTCCCAAGAAAGTAATATATTACCAAAAAAAACACTGACTGTCAGTCACCCCAACACGTGTTAGCCGCGGAAAAGCATGGGTCCAGGTTGATCCCACCAGGCGTGAACACCTCGTACACCTCGTGCTCTATGATAGTGGGGTGAAACACTCCGGGCTCTCACTGGAGAGAAACAGGCGCACATTCCCAGCCCCTGCACTTCGAACCATATGGCCTCCTTCACCAAACTCGCTTTCGCTGACATCCATGTCGCCGCTGCTGTTGTTGCTGCTGTCGTCGCTGCCAGTCATGGTTGTAGTGCCCCGCAGCAAACAGCTCCTGCCTGTGACCCCCAATGCACATTGCTCAACGAGCCGTCCACTCAGGGGCTGTGTCTCAGCTACAGAGCGCGCCACAGCAACTATACAGGTGCCTGTCGTGAATATCCAGCAACGAGTTGGCAATCTGTCGAAACTGTGAACCGACCCCCGAACAAGCTGCTCTGCCCTTAAGAGACACGCCATCTCTGCTGACCTGTACATCAATACACACCAATTGGGTCAGCACAAACCATGTATCACACGAGTGAGGCTCAGCTTGTCACGCGTAGTTACAGAGTTTCATAAAGTTTCATAAGTTCCTTCAACTACCGCGATTCTGGATGCCTGCCTGAGAGTTTCCGGGCTGACCCCGCAATTGGTCGAAATTGCTCGATAGAAGGGTTGAAATTGGCACGGGGTCTACACCTGGGACAAGTTAAGTTGCCGGGACAGGCCCTTGAATTGGCCTGACAGGGACACGAATTGGCCTGGCAGGGACATTCCAAAAGTCAGGATTAGCCTGTCGGGGTGTCGAATTGGCCTGGCAATGACATTCGGGCAGTCAGAATTGGCCTGTTCGGGGCGTCGAATTAGGGAAGCACAGGAATTGTGCGACCGGGGCAGTCCAAAGAATTGCTCTCCCCGACCGTGTGTCCTACCCTCTAGTCCGTGTGTGTGTGTATGTGTGTGTGTGTTTGTCTCACGGACCAAACGTCATATCTCCCCGGCTGAAACGCGTTATTGGCAATATATTGCATTCTATTGCTGCCTGTAGCCAACAAAGATCGTATGAGCACAAACAAGTTTGGCTGCCTCCATTTACCGAGCCCAAAGTCACATCAACGCCCCTCGTCCTTAAATTCATCTCAAAAGGTGCCGTGTATCTCATAATTGAATTCTAAGATGACGGTGTATGAAAACTCGAACACCCAGCTTGCGTTACCATTTGCCCGCACGGGCATTCCGACTTGCCACCAGCAGGCCGACAAATTTGCTTTCGTTCCTCTATAAAGTACGCAAGGCCTCCGAAGACTTGCAGTGTGTCGCGAGAAGCAGAGGTCTTCGGGTACCGGTCAGGCGGAAATTAGGATGCGGAAAGAGGGGCAGGATTAGGATACAAAGTTGAGGCCAGTTTTCGGATGAGGACCCGAGTGTAGGATTAGGATTGGGCCCTCACCCACAGGATTAGGATTGGGACCCGGCCACTGGACTAGGATTGGGACCCGCCCAAGATTAGGATTGGGACCTCCCCAAAGGATAAGGATGAATACCGCATATCCAGGATTAGAATGAGTACATTGGTATTGGGGCCCCGCGTCTGCTCCGGAGCCAACTGCACGACATTGAGGGACGCTTCCGCAAGACAGCCGGGGGGTCCTGGCTCGAAGTGAGGCCCACCCTGGAGTTAGTTGTTACGCTTTCATGTACTTACTCAAACAAACTGCTTCTCTAGTACTGTGATGTTTTATTTGTTATATTCATGCAGAGGGTTGCAGAGATGGGGGATTGGGGGCAGGTACTGGTCAGGCGGGATGGGGAATAGGGGTGACGACGTCAGGATGGGATGTGGGGCCCAAGGCAAGGATTAGGGATTAGGCGTGCTACACTACTTTTGGGATGGGGATTGCTGTCGGGGGTGAGGATGGGGATGGGATCCCTGCCTGAGGGATGGGGATTGCAACCTTGACCAAGGAGGGGATTGGGAGCCCTGGGCAAGGATGGGGATGGGACCCTGGTCGACAGGATGGCGATTTCAGGCTTTCGCAAGTTTAGGATGAGCTCGCTGCCATAGGATAGGGAACACAGTTGGAGGATTAGGATTGGGTGTTCTGCTGTAAAATGAGGCTGGAGGTGCAGAATTGGGAATACTGACAGGACTGCAAAACAGGCCAAGGATAAATGGTTTAGTTGTCCATAGTTGCTTGCATGGTGTGCTGTCACTTGTGGTGCATCTTACAGCGTCTGGTGAAAGTGGTGGTCGAAGCCAGTACCAAACATGCACGTTGTCGTGGTCGATTTTGCTCATACACTTGGTAAACCAAACACCGAGAGATATCTTCACAAAGCAAGGCCCAACAGCACCATAATCAGCTGTCCAGGTATAGCCCATGCCCATGTTCACCAGCACCACAACGGGCCTCACATTACCCACTTGACACACATGAGCACATCTCACCAAAAGCGGCCCCTGCAGGCTGCACCACTGCTGTCTGCCAAAGGCATGGCCATCATCAGTGCATGCACCAACATCAGCCATCTCACCAGGCCGTCATGCATTCAATTGTTTGACCTCTGCTTATAAGTCACGTCCCATAGCAAACCAAACATAAATACAAGGAAGTTCTATGAGTTGGCAGCACCGAATCTAGGCTGGGGAGTCTAACATCAGAGTCGTCCATGCATTTTTGCTTCACACCAAATGCCTAGCACTCATTGCAAACAACACAACAAACCCTCGCTCCCTACCGTGGGGGGGAACAGTGCCCACGAGTCATGCCTGGCACGCTCCCAATGCGACTAAACAAGGTGGCAAACCTTTCAACGGCAGGGCCCATATAGGCAATGACACTGCCGTGTGGATTCTGCGCACGGGCTCCCCATTGAAGCTCATCACCAGTGCCCACCTGCCGGACAAACGAAAGGCGCTCCTGGAGAAAGCACACTGGCCAGTTCAGCATATCGTTGAACCAGCTGTAGCCTATAGCTGCCTTCAATAGCACCACGGCCTGCCTCATATTCCCCGCCTGATACTCCCAGAACAAATCTCGCAAAAAATAGGCCTTGAAGGCTGTGTCCTTTCTGTACACCAAACGCAGGTTGAGAATCACATTTCATCGCCAGGCATTGCCCTCTGCCAGTCCATCCGTCGCCTCATC